AGGAGCAGTCAATAAATACACATTATATTATATTTATAATGCTCACCTTCAGACTGTGCTCAATACAAGTTAGGATCATGACTACCATTACTCCCAGTAAGTCTCAGGGCATAGGCGCTTGATACAGTGCACCGGGCTTGGGGGTTCAAAGAGGCCGCCCGAGGACAATATTAATGCACAGGCGGTGCGATGCACTCTTCAGCCCAATACAGGTCAAGTCTGTTAGCAAGACTATGAATGTACAACACTAAGACCTTTTACAAAAAATAAGAGGAAACTGTATGTTTACTGTGTATAAACGTTTACACCAAGTTTACATGACTTCATTTACACACACGGAAACGGTAAACAGTAATAAATGTTTATACACAGTAAACAAACAAAACGGTTGGAGCCTTAGTTTCAACTTCGTTGGAGAAAATGTGGAGAATACTTGTTTTCAAGTTCGTAACTTGCCAGTTGAAAAGTGGTCTGAAGTGGAAGATCCGTGGCATCCGCTTTTGTTCATAGTATTGCAAGTAGCGACCTATTGTCTGCCAGGATATCAACGAGACACCAAACTCTCATAGGAGATTCATTGAGCTACCCCGCTTCAGCCTTCGAGACAAGCTCATGGTCAGCATTCAATTATTTACTTAAACTAGTGAGCTCGGCATACGAGAGCATATCATTACTTCTAAATAGCACAGTACGGTATCAAACGCGAGGACGCCTAGGCCAAGTGAGGTGAAGAAGATGGCGGAATGATGTACAGTGCGCTGAATAAAGGGAGTAAGAGGCGCGGGGTGAACGTAAAGTTAATTGTCAGCGGGACTTAACATGTTACAGGTCGGCGGTGCGACAGGGGTCGTCAATGTAAAGGGATAATGGGGGTAGCGGACTAATGAAGAAGGTCATTAGGATGGATGAGAAAAGGGGAGATCGTAAGTCTGTGATGTCGTGTCCCAAAGTCCAAACTACCCATAAGATGGAGTAATCCGGAGGGCGGGAGGTCATAGATTACCTACGACAGGCAAATGCACGCCATACAAGTGCAGCACAGCCTCTAGTCCCTCCTGATCGAGTCGTAGCTCGGCGGGATTTCGCTTGGCTCGGTCTCCTCGACTCCATGTTCTGGGATGCGCCCTGCGTCTTGGTGCTGTACCACGGGGGTGCCCTCGCCGGGGGCATTGGCCACGCGTAGGCCGCGCACCTCCGACTCTTTGCTGCTCGGGATCGTCATGCCTGCGCTGCTCGAGCCCGTGCCAGGCAGCGAGGGGCCAGGGCTCGGGCCGTCGCGGCGCGCGCCGTCTGGCACGTAGCCGGGGTTGAACCCGCCGGGGAACGCAGACGAGCGGGGGCTCGTCGAGTCGTTGCCGTGGCCGGACATCGAGCCCGAATGCGGGTCGGAGTAGGCCGCGTACGCGTTGTAGTCGTATCCAGGGTCTGACATCGAGGGCGCGTAGTGGCTTTGGCTGGCTGCGGAGTACGCAGAGGGCGCGCTCGCGCTGCCGCTGCCGGGACCCTGCGGCGGCGCACGCTTCGCCCCCGCGGCCATGCCTGCCCCCAGGCCTGCAGCGCCTGCACCGACCGCGGACGAGCCCGTCTGACTCATCTGCTGGCCGCCGGCGTTTGGGACGTAATTGTAGGGTTCGACCGCGCTCGCTTCGCCTCCGGCGAGATCCATACCACCCACTCTGCGTCCGCCAACAACCCGATCCGGATCAAAGTCCCCGTCAAAGTCGTCTCTTCGGCGTTTCCGGAAGAAGAGCCAGATAGCGAGGGCGATTAGAATCGCGCCTCCGATACCGCCCACGACGCCTCCTACGATTGCGCCCGTGTGGCTCGACGAAGAACGTGACCCGCCCGCGGAGTTCGCGTTGGGGTCGATTGTGGGCGTAACCACGACTGTCGTAGCGACGGTCGACGTAAAGGTAGAGCCGACAGCATTTGTCGTGCTATTGGAGCGTAAGCGAATTCATGGACAAAGCGCAGCAGAAAGAAGTTTGATGGTTAGATAATAAGACTTACACGAAGGTGCTCAGGCTCGTCGATGTCGACGGCGTTGCGCTTGGCGTAGTTGACGTGAAGGATGACCCACCCGACCCACTTGGTCCTGAGCTTAATGACGAAGCACCGTTCGCTGTGCTCGAGCCACCAGAGGTTGATGGGGTCCCAGATGGAGGTGCATTTGACGAAGTTGTTGTGGTTGAGGTGCTAGTTGGCGTCGATGTAGGGGTAGCGGACGTCGGTGGTGGCGACGTAGATGACGGTGGAGGCGTTGATGAAGATGTAGGGGTAGGAGTCGATGAAGGAGGGGGTGTTGGAGTAGATGAATCAGTAGTTGAATCTGGTGTTGATGCCGCAGCGGCTGATGAGCCTAGAGAAGAAGTAGGGTTAGTCTGAGTACTGCTTGCAGACAGCGGACCGGAAGAAGAAAGAGTAGCGGTAGGCGGAGAGGAAGAGGAGGAGGAGGATAGGAGAGAAAGGAGATCGCTCGTACTCGGAGAAGCGCCAGGCTCAGACTGAGAAAGAGAGGGCGAGGACGCCGGAGCAGAGGAGAGTGGAGGAGAGGAAGCTGGAGGCGCAGAAGACGTACTTGCAGCCGAAGTGGCAGACGTCACTGGCGTTGTCGACGTCGCAGAGACGGGCGACGTCGTTGATGCACCAGACGACATGGCGGTCGTCGACAGATAGAGGAGCGGAAATTGGAAGAGGGGATATGGAAATAAAGGGAGGATAGGAGGAGCGTGAGTGGTATATTACAACCCCTCGCCTGACGGTGCACGCGTGAAAGTGGCGTCGGCCACCGGTATGGAAAACGCTCGCACAGCACCGCTCTCGCTTCTTCCACCCTGGTCGCTGCCACAAACGACGAGCGAGAAGCCTTTACGTCTATGGAGCACGGACACGAGGGGGTGTAGAGAGGCAAGCGAGACGGCGTGTCCATCCCCTGCTATTATTTCCTGCCAGGCCCTCTGGGAGAAGCGCGCCGTCCAGCCGGATAGACTCCCCCGGCCGTCCCACGGCATCTTCCTCTCTCTCGCCTCTCTGAATGGGAAATAGCGCGAACGCATACTCACCAGGATCCTGACGCGCTCTGAGGCCTCTCGACATGTTTCCCGGGTTGTCTTGCACGAAGGAGAGGAAGAAACGAGTAGCAAGTTTTGGTCGTGGCAGACAAATGTGAACCCGGCTGTGGCCCACGCGCTCGTCGTTCTTTATAACCAGCGTTACTCCGCTCGTCCCCCCACTTTAGGCAGTCGGCCTCGACTGCCCGCTCCCCGTCCGTCTCAACCTCGTTCGTTTACCATGGCTTCCCTTCGCTGTGAAGCTCTCTTATCTACCATCGAGAGTCCTCGTGCGCCCTCAGAACCACCCAGGGAGTATATTCCAGGTTGCCACAGGCGCGATCAACAGGTTCGACACGGCCGAGCCTCCGATGGACCGTCGGACGCTGGCCTGACATGCATGGGCCAGACAAAGCCGCAGAGGGTTCTCTTCGGCACGGTGGCTCTGCCCTCCCACAAGCACCACAAACCCTATCACCGGGCCCAACAGCCTTGTCCCGGACAAGTCTCGACGTTTCCCCGGCTCCTTCAACTCGCTCGGTCCTTCGCACACGACCCGTCCTAGGTTCTGTTGCGCAGCGTCCTCGAGCAAATAATGTGCGGCGACGTGTGCCAGTAGTCATGACGTTGCGACCAAGGCCTCTTTGAGTCTTCGTGCATCGCCCCAGAATTTTTCCATGTTGTGTCATCGCCTCGGTCCTCCTCCACATGTCCGCAGCACTCCTCAATATCTGTAAACTCAAATCTCGCCGGGGGCCGGCCCACGGGACCAACAACTCACCGAGTCTTTCGTGTCACCTCGCAACAAACTATCTCTACAGTGCAGCCGCAGTGCCACCAGGGGTTTTCGCGCCTTTTCGCGCGCGCTCCATCGACGGTGTATGCACTCTGTTGTACCTTAGTACCTGATCTCCGTGAATTTGTACCCTGGTGGCTGTGCACTACGGCCGTGTTTTGCATGCTACGCGGAAGCAAATAAACTTTCCATACTGCTATAGTGCTTTGCACTCGCTTTGCCTGTTGTAAACTAGTGTGGTCCGTCTGAGAGGTTCCAGAACCCCTTCCCTTCTTTCCCAAGCAGCTTTGAGGTCGCCCGGTCTCTTATGAGGCCCGCTGCTATTTTGGCGTGGCGTAGTGGTGTCGCACGGGCGAAACGCGGTCATTGACAGCCGGCATTATTCGTCCCCGATGCATGTCTAGATTTGCGCCGCTTCAACCGCCCATACACTCGACAAAAATCAAAAAGACTGCGATAATATGCATATATAATCAGTACACGATCTCGACGAAACGTCAGCTAGCAATGACAGCATAGTATAACAGCAAAGTACAGCGCATATACGGACCAATAGGATCCAGGTCAAGTAGCTTCCCGCTGGTTAGATGCGAGAAGACTCGACGAAGGCGCACCGAGATCCACCTGGCTGTAGAAATCGTTCCCAAGCTCGTCGCTCTTCCAATAAGCATCCCACTCATCTTCTTCCTCTGCCAGCGGCCCGTTCTCCGCTGTGTCTGCACCTTCGGACGTCACGTTCGCTTCGTCCGCCGGATGCGCGAGCTCGTCTAACGCGATATCAGAAGCTGCCGCAAGGTCTGATGATAAATCCGCTGGGGGAGACACGGATACGGTGGTAGCGGGAGGCGGAGCCTTACGTGCTGGGGAGGATCGCTCCAAGGTGGTAACACCCCCACCTTCGTCTGGCAATGCGACGATTCCACCCGACGTGATAATGTAGTCAACCGAGCCCGGCGGCGCGACCGAGTTGAATATAACCGTGAGTCGCCTCAGTCGGATCGGCTGCTCCCCATCCTGCCCAGCAACAGCCACACGCGAGGCCCCAACGTCAGCATCGTCCTCGCGTCTCAGCCGCTTGACTAAGTGGGCCTCGTGCCCGTCGAGGCAGCGCATACGCCGCGTCCGGCTGAGCATGATCCGCGCGTTGACCTGGTTCGCCCACACGAGCCCGAGCGCAGCCTCCTTCGCGTCCTCGCCGGGCACGGTGTCCGCGCGCCCAAAGAGCCGCGCCTGCTCGCGGTACGCGACCTCGTGCGCGCGCGCGTCCGGCGCGGGCCCGCGGTCGATCACGTCCGTGACCTCGTTCACGACGAGCACGGCGACGCGGTGCGCGCTCGCGAGTCCGTGCAGCAGCGTCGCAACCTCGGCGAGGTGGCGCGCGCGTTCGGTGAGCGTCGCGGTCGAGACCTGCACGTCCGAGTGCAGGAGCTCCGCGAGCGCGTCGATGACGACGAGCTTCACCGGCTTGGCGTCGGGTTTGGCGCGCACGTCCGCCAGGAAGCTGGGCAGCGTCACGGAGAGAACGTGACGCAGGACGGGGATCGTGGGAGCTTTGAGAGTGTGAACGTCTGAGAGGCCGCAGAGAGTGGGCGAGAAGAGCGGGTGCGCGTCCACCATCTCTAGCAAGCGATTTGTTGGAAGCGTCCAGGATGTTAAAATAAAACAGGCAGACCCCAAGATGCCACCCAAGTTTCGTGGAAGCTGCACGCATAACGATAGCTGCATTGCAAGCTGGGTCTTGCCTGCCGCACTGCTCGGCAGTGGTTAGAGACAACGCATCGGCAACGCGGACATATGCGCACCTTTCTCCAACAATCTCCCAAAGCTTTCCAGTTCTAATGCCACCACCAAGCACGCCATCCAGCAGTGCATCCCCAGTCGTGAACTTCTCGTCCTTTGGCAACGCAGGGTCATCGAGCCGGTACAGCTTCGGCGCGAGCTCATCGCACACGGTATTCATGATGTTCTTCGCCTCATGGTGCGATATCCTGCATTTCCGCATTATGTCGGACAGCGGCTGCAGGACAAGGTCCGCCACGGTCGAGACATTCCCTGCGATATCGCGTCAGCGCCCATTCGCGTTCAGCGCAGTCGAGCAAACACACCGCGTTTGAGTATCGCCTTCTGCGACGGTGACAATGCGTCGATCGTTGATATTGATGGCGAGTCCATTTAGATAGGTAGACAGAGGAGAACGAGAGGTCGCTTTGCCCCGTCTGGCATGACGCACACGCTTATTCGCGGTCAAGGGCCTCAAGGGCCAAGGCCATGGTGATGGTGGACGGGAGCAAAGGCGCCCTGGTTGATGCTTACCGGCGCTAGGTGACCCAGTGCCAACTCAAGTACAACAAGCCCAGATATATGGAGCGACGACGCGAATATATTTGAAAACTAGCGAACACACACACAGACTTACAGGCGTTTATAACACCTAACCAACGGAATTTCCAGCACGAGAGAAGACCAAAGAGAAGTAATTCTCTAAGCCCTCTGCGGAAGTGGTAAAGGCACCAACCATGCCGTCCGGGCGGACTACAACGGCAACAGGGCTTGTCTGCTCATCCCGACCGTACCCTTTCCTGGTATAGCCATTCTTATCCTCAATGACGGTGTCAACACCGCTGTAAGCCGTAGGTGCAGGCATTTCCCCGGGAGCCAGCACAAGCAGGACCTTGACGAGGTCAGAAGGCACAGCGTGGACAACGTCGAGCATCCCCGCCTCCGTCTCTCCAGCACCACCAAACAGCAGCACACTGTGATGGTCAGGGCCAAATATGTCGAACAGCCGCGTGCCCTTCCCGCCGACGCACACAGGCGCGTCAGGGGCACGGTCACCAGCCCGGACGTCCTGCTCCGGCTCGCCATACGCGACACGCGTGCTCTCGCCACCGGCAAAACGCTCGTCGAGCACGACGGTGCTCCAGCGGTAGTTGACGTCAAGCTGGAACAGCTTCCTGCCGCGGAACCAGATCTGTTCGTGGACACCCGTGCCGACCTGTTCGGCGGCACGTGCGGCTGCGAGCTTGCGTTGCGTATCGGCGTTGAACGTGCGGTCGTATAACTCCGTGGTGATCTCAAGCATGGTAGAGATGACGGGCATGCGCTCGACCTCGTAGGAGGACAGCAGGGAGGGTGAAGCATGGCCTTTCACAGCGAGGGCTAGTTTCCAGCCGAGGTTGAACTAGTTAATTGAGGTCACGTTGGTCGATTGAAAGTGTGTACGCGCTAGCATACTCACTTACTGCGTCCTGAATGCTCGAATTCATACCTTGGCCTCCAGTCGGAGAGTGCGTATGGGCGGCATCTCCAATAATGAACACCCTGCCGATCTGAAATTTCTCCGCCATGCGAATATTGGCTCTAGGAGTCCATGCCAGTCATTCAGCTATAAAGCTTACATCGAGTGTTAGATTGGCGTACCTCCATTCTCCTTGCCAGCTGGTAATCTCCTTTATGACGAGATCATTACGGCCGGACGCCCTACTGAATTCCTTCTGGAGAACCTCGAGGCTGCACTCAGCTTTCAAAGTAGCGTAATCCAAATTTGGACCAGAGAGGAACAACTGAAACTCTTGGTCTAGTCCCGTGTGGACGATGCCCGTACTATAAAAGGCATATATATATAGGGTGAAGTAAGACAAAAGTCAGAAAGACGCACAAAGCGGTGGCAGTGTCTCCCCAGACGTAGAAATCCTAATGGCATCAATCAATTACTTATATGGTATCCTGAAGCAGTTGTAGGGATGAAACTTACGTTATTCCCTTCGATGCCCTCGACAACACAGTCAACTATGAACATCACACCTCCCTCACGGGTCTCCCCAATGAAATCAACGCCAAGAGACTTGCGCACAGTACCTTTAAGATATTATCAGTCACAACGACGAGGGACACCAGGAATAAGAAGGAAGTACTGCGTCCGCCGTCGGCACCAATGGCGTAGGCAAAATTGGCTTTCTCTGGTACGACCTCTCCGTCGATGGACTTGATCAGCTGCGTGACTATCTTTTCGCCGTCCTGTTGGAGAGACTCGAGGGCGGTACCCAGCTCGACACTGCATCCCAGTGCCTCAATAGCTTTGCGGAGAATAGCCTGGTGCTTCCATTGTCCGAGCTGTACTGGGCGCATCTAGATCTCGGTCAACTACCTACTTAACTACCCACTAACGAGAGCAAGAGCCGCTGCACACCTCAGGGAAGGTCGGAGTAGGGTCAAGTTGCTCCATGACATTCATGCTCTTGACGACCTTGTACGGGTCTTTGGGGTCATGCATATGCAGCACCGGACTGCGCGCCGCCGCCTTCTTGACATCGTCTGCGACGCCGAGGAAGTGTTCGATCTCCAGCGTGCGAGGCTGCAAACGATAAGTAATCGCAGTTAGATGTAAAGGATGGTGGTGCACACCATGACACCTGGGCCGCGTTCGCTACGGTGGTGCTTGGCATCTTTCTCGATAATGCGCACTGGGACGCCGTTCTTGAGCAGTGTCAGAGCGAGCACGAGCCCAGATGGACCAGCACCGACCTACGAGTGGAGTTCGTCAGCACCCGACGAGACAGAGGAGCCACGAGTCCGCTGCTCACGATCAGGACAGCTGGAGAGGACATTTTTAAGGGAGCTCAATCGGAGTAGTACCTGCCGTTGATGAGGGATGCACTACCCTGTATATATGGCATATTTTGACTCCAGCCAGATTGCACCAAAGCTCACAGCCATTTCATATAACCTTGACAGCAAGCCGAGGAGAATCGGAGGGAGGAAGAAGCCTGGAAGACCCAAGCGAACCATGGCGCCCTCCAATGATTAGCTCGAGCCAGCGGTACGCCAGGGTGCACTCCGAAACGAGTGACGAAGGCGTTCTGCCGTACTTTAGACAAGTGGGTAAAGAACGAGAGGTCGTGCTGGGCGAGGGTCACGTGAATCTGGTGTCTCGACAGGCAATAAGTGCCGGATTCCTGTCGAGAGACCAGACGGCTCGTTTGCCATCATTTCCCCGCCAAAATCTGGTGTCTCGACAGGCAATAAGTTGCGTTAAGGCTGTCGGGATACCCGCTTTTTGCCGGGCCGTCCATCAGTTCTCCTATTTTTCCTGTTTTTCCTTGGCAGATGGCAGAAAATGCGAAAATATTCGGACAATGCTTCAAATATCGGCTCAAAAAATTGAGTTAAATTTTAATCGTTCAAATACATGTTTATGTACAACCTAGAGGTCAAAAGGGGGCTAAAAAGCGAAGCTGTGGCCACAACTAGGGCTCGCGACACCTCAGCGCGGTCTGGCGTCTTCGGGGGCGCGGCCGGACGCTTGAAGCGCCCTAGAAGCGCCGGATCGGTCTGGTATCCCGACAAAGGTTGCTTACACAGCTGCACGGATGAGACTGTGGGGCTCAAGATCTGGCGGATTTTGTGATTCGGGGTATCGTGATCTTTGAGCGTTGGTTTTTGTCTGAGATTCGTCCCACCGAAATCATAATTCTGTCCAATGCGAAATACGCCCGATCCGAGATCTCCCCACCACAGTTTGGCGCCCATTTAGGCTCTATCCATGGACCGCAGCTACCTAGTGATCCGCCTGGCCAGATATTTGACAACTGGGCCGGCCGACTCGGGCAGTCAAGCCTGCTTCATTCTCCTATGAGATCCCTACCGGCGCAAGGCCTCAGAGCACACGTCCGTTCGAGTTGCATTCCGTACTTAGAAGTCCACAATAAACGGCAAAAGACTACATTAGAACATATGTATGATCTCAGCTCAGGTAGTAAGCTGCAATAGATGCCGGAGTAACAGGCTACGGGGCGGAGAATAGCTCATCGTCAAGCTCGCTGGTACCTTCGCCCTTCATACATAGACAGGGCCGGAACGCTATCGTCGTTTGCTTCGGTGTCGGGGCTATCCGAGAGAGTCGAGTCTGCAAGGCGCATTTCTGCTTGCGCCGGTAGGGATCTCATAGGAGAATGAAGCAGGCTTGACTGCCCGAGTCGGCCGGCCCAGTTGTCAAATATCTGGTCAGGCGGATCACTAGGTAGCTGCGGTCCATGGATAGAGCCTAATGGGTTCGCTTCTAGAAGTTGGTCGGAAGCCGCAGTCTGATTAGCCCCGGGCAGCTCAAAGTCTCTGAGAGCGACTGGTGTATGCGGCCGAAGCGGTTGGCATAGTGCATCTGGTGAACTTGATAAGGTGGACTCCGTGCCAAAGGTGCCGTGTAGAGATAGAGCTGGAAGGTGATTGCTGGGTTGATAGCCTTCAGGTGGAGATGAAGGCGGCAAGGGCGAATCGGCGCGGTTCAGACTCGGAGACGCGTTCGACACATTCGGGACATGGGCGGGCACAAGTTCAAATAGATCGCTATCAACACGGCCATTGAGCTCGCGTACTCGTCTCGTGTGACGTGCGCTTGCTTCGTGGTGAAGAGCTTTCCGAAGTGACATGCCTAGTTTTCCGCAGACAGTGCAGTCGAAGCCATACCGACGACTGCTTCTGAAGACTGGGGTCTCGTTAGTGAGGTCCGGGTGACCGTGTGCAGGCTAGAGTCTCGCTGTACTTACATTGTAACTTAATAAAATCGCCTCATGTGAGTGCCACACTGGCCTCATCGGGCTCATGCTCAGGCTGTCGACACTTCATGTCATCTCACGACGGCGGTCAGTGCTGCGAGCACAGAGACTCGTTTGCACAAGTCTTAGGCGCAGAATTCTTAGCACACGGACTCATGCATTCATGATTCATTAGTGCAGAGAATATTGGCAGATTCTCGAATGCGGAGTATCTTGAGACTTGTGTGACATGGTCAGACAAAAACCAATGCTCAATGATCAGATTCCCGAATGACCGAAATCGCGCCCGCGTGATTTTCAATATCTCTCAGATACTGTTACCTCAGTCTCATCCGTGCAGCTGTGTACATGCGGCCGTGGTGGACGGGAGCAAAAACGTCTAGGCTGGGATTGGCGCTGGACCCAGGGCTGGCTCAAGCTAAAGTACTCCTGCCGAGACGCATCGAATAATAACGTGGATGGATAAATTATGTAAATTATCTAACGGATAAATTTATAACTGCAAAGAAGGTCGTGGCATCTAGTTGTCCAGATCTCAAGCATGAGTGAAAACCAAAGAGAAATATCTCTCCAAGCCCTTTGCCGAGGTCGCGAAGGCACCAATCATGCCGTCCGGGCGAACCACAACAGCAACAGAATCTGCCTGCCCCTCCAGGCCATATCCTCTCCTCCCATGGCCATCCTTGTCCTCAACAACAATGCTGGACACGTCATTGGCCGCGACATGCACTTCCCCAGGGGAAGAAACGAGCAAGATCTTGACGAGGTCAGAAGGCAAAGTGCGGGCGACACCGAGCATCTCCGCCTCCTTCTCGCTGACACCGAAGAGCAGCACAGTGTGGTGAGCGGGGCTAAAGATATCGAACAGCCGCGTGTCGGTCCCACCGACGCTCACAGGCGCGTCGGGGGCACGGTCACCGGCCCGGACGTCCTGGCCCGGCTCGCCATAGGCGACACGCGTGCTCTCGCCGCCGGCGAAACGCTCGTCGAGGACGATCGTGCTCCAGCGGTAGTTGACATCAAGCTGGTAGAGCTTCCTGCCGCGGAACCAGATCTGCTCGCGATCCGCGGCGGCGGCGGCGGCAGCGCCGGCCTGCTCGGCGGCGTGTGCGTCCGCGAGCTTGCGCTGCGTGTCGACGCCGAACGTGCGGTTGAACAGGTCTGTCGTGATCTCGAGCATGGCAGAGATGACGGGTATGCGCTCGATCTCGTACGAGGGTAGGAGAGCCGGGGGCGCATGACCCTTTACTACGAGTGCGAGTTTCCAGCCGAGGTTGAACTGGTGGGAAGGAGCTGCGTTAGCCAAGTGGGTGGGCATATGCAGCGGCGTAGTCACTTACGGCGTCCTGGATGCTCGAGTTCATGCCTTGACCCCCAGTCGGAGAGTGCGTATGAGCGGCATCCCCAACAAGGAACACCCTGTCGACCTGGAATTTCTCTGCCATGCGAATGTTCGCCCTGAAGTTCGGGTTAGCTGCTCAATTTTAGACGCTTCCTTAGAACGTCCGAATGGTCATACCTCCATTCTCCCTGCCAGTTGATGATCTCCTTCACAAGATCATTACGGCCGGTCACCTTATTGAGTGCCTTTTGGAGGGCCTCGAGACTACGCTCATTCTTTAAGGTAGCGTAGTCCACGTCGGGACCAGAAAGGATCACCTGGAATACTTGGCCTGTTCCCGTATGGCGAACGGCTGCACTATAGAAGATGGGTTAGTGAGGTTGACCGAGCAAATCTTAAGAATGGCTTACAAGGCACTGGTAGTGTCCCCCCAGGCGTGGAGATCCTGACGGTACCAGTGGTTTGCTTATGAGTCCCCCAAAACTGCTGCACAGATGGCACTTACGCTGTTCCCGTTAATACCTTCGACAACACAGTCGACAACGAACATCACGCCCTCCTCACGAGTCTCTCCGACAAATTTAACGCCGAGAGACTTGCGCACAGTGCCTTTGTGGCATTTTCAGTCACAGCGACGAGAACGGTTGATAATAAAAAGAACGTACTGTGCCCACCGTCTGCTCCGACGACATAGGCAAACTCGGCTTCCTCCGTCACGGTCTTCCCGTCAGCTGACTTGGAGAGCTGCGTGACGACCTTTTCGCCATCCTGCTGGAAAGAGACGAAGGCGGTACCCAGCTCGACACTGCATCCCAGTGCCTCGATAGCTTTGCGGAGAATAGCCTGGTGCTTCCACTGCCCAAGCGTTGCCGGGACCGTCTGCGTCTCAGTCAGCTATCTGTTCAGCTCGACCGGAGCAAAGAGCGGGCGCGCACCTCAGGGAAGGCCGGAGTGGGCTCGACCTGCTCCAAAATGTTCGAGCTCTTGATGATCTTGTACGGGTCTTTAGGGTCATACATCTGGAGCACCAGGCTGCGCGCCGCCGCCTTCTTGACGTCGTCGGCGACGCCGAGGAAGTGCTCGATCTCCAGCGAGCGGGGCTGCAACGGTTAGGGATCGCAGTCGCATGCAAAGGAAGGTGGTGCACACCATAATTCCGGGGCCGCGTTCGCCACGATGGTACTCGGCATCTCTCTCGATGATACGCACGGAGACACCGTTCTTGAGCAGCGTCAGGGCGAGCAAGAGTCCCGATGGACCAGCACCGACCTGCGAGTTAAATTCTTCAATATAGCATGAGACAGGGAGTTGCGGGTCTTTCACTTACGACTAGGACAGTTGGGGAGGACATGTCGGAGGTAGTTCAATTGGAGTACTCGTTGTTGATGAGGAAGGCATTGTCTGTCGCCCCGTATATATATATTTTGTCCTCCATTGCCCAGTTACAGCCTGAGACTACAGGATCACCAACGTATCTGACATAAGCGGGTTTGATGTTGCCGAGTGTATTTAGTCGAGTCGTAAGTTGCTGCTAAAGTCCGAGATGGGATCAAATTTGATGTGGCACGTCGCCTCGGCAGCGCGCGTACGAGTTTTGTGATGCGTGCCACACGGGCAGACGCGCGCCCTTGCGGCTCTCAGGCTACCTGCTGCGACATTCGCGCATCCTGTGCAAGTTCTGTGGATTACATAACTCGACTAACATTCGCCGTCTCTGCCGCAGCGATTGCGACGACTCCGGCGGACTACTACACCGTCCTCCTCAGAACTTGCCTACCGGCGGCATCACTTCGAGACCGTTTTCCTGATCCGCCGTTTGCGTGTGCTTCACGTAGAAGAACCGTCCCTGGTGCCGAGCAGACCACCATGTGCGCCATCTAATCCCGCCAGTCGTGACCATCTCACCTTTTGGCACCGCAGAGTCGTCAAGCCGGTACAGCTTCGGTGCGGGCTGATCGCACACAATAGCCATGATATATGAAATCTTACGCAATGTCCTCCATTTCTGCATTACGTTGGACAGCGGCTACAGGACAAGGTCCCCATGGTCGAGACGAACGAGTCAAAACCCAATGATGTCTATAAGAACACTTGAGCAGGCATACCGCGTTTGAGCGTCGCTTTCTGCGACAGCACGAGTCCGTCGGTCATTGACATTGATTGTGAACCCACTTAAATAGGTAGAAGAGCACGAGAGGTAATCTTGCCCCGTCCGACTTGGTCGAAAGCAGAGACGCCTTTGATTGGAGCCGGTACTGGGCTCAATGTTTGTTGAACGTTTACATTTAAACCCATTTGTTTACAGTGCTGCTTCGTCTGTTCGAGCGTTTAGTAATCCTTGCGGTATCTAACCGGCAGAATCTCAAGCATGAGAGAAAATCAGGGAGAAATACTTCTCTAGGCCCTTTGCCGAGGTCGCGAAAGCACCAATCATGCCGTCCGGGCGAACCACAACAACAACAGGACCCGTCTGCCCCTCCAGACCATACGGTCTCCTCCCATGGCCGTCTTTATCCTCAACAACAATGTTGGACTCATCATTGGTCGTAACGTGCACCTCCCCAGGGGAAGAAACGAGCAAGATCTTGACGAGGTCAGAAGGCAAAGCGCGGACGACACCGAGCACCCCCGCCTCCTTCTCATCGACACCGAACAGCAGCACAGTATGATGAGCAGGGCTAAAGATGTCAAACAGCCGCGTGTCATTCCCACCGACGCTCACAGGCGCATCGGGGGCACGGTCGCCGGCCCGGACGTCCTGGCCCGGCTCGCCATAGGCGACACGCGTGCTCTCGCCGCCGGCGAAACGCTCGTCGAGGACGATGGTGCTCCAGCGGTAGTTGACGTCGAGCTGGAACAGCTTCCTGCCACGGATCCAGACCTGCTCGCGCGCTGTCGCGTCCGTACCGGCGCCGGCCTGCTCGGCGGCGCGTGCGTCTGCGAGCTTGCGCTGCGTGTCGACACCGAACGTGCGGTCGAACAGGTCCGTCGTGATCTAGAGCATGGCAGAGATGACGGGTATGCGTTCGATCTCGTAGGAGGACAAGAGGGCTGGGGAAGCATGGCCCTTCATCACGAGGGCGAGTTTCCAGCCGAGGTTGAACTGGTATATCGGCATTATGTTAGTCAATTGAAGGTGTACATGCTCTAGCACGTTCGCTTACGGCGTCCTGAATGCTCGAGTTCATGCCTTGACCTCCGGCCGGAGAGTGTGTATGAGCGGCATCCCCAACAATGAACACCCTGTCAACTTGGAATTTCTCTGCCATGCGAATATTTGGCCTGGAGATTCGTGCCAGCTATTCAGTTGTAAAGCTTGCATCGGATTTTAGACTGGGCGTACCTCCATTCTCCCTGCCAGTAAATGATCTCCTTCACGATAAGATCATTACGGCCGGATATCCTACTGAATTCCTTCTGGAGAGCCTTGAGGCTGCACTCGGCCTTCAAGGTAGCGTAATCCACATTTGGACCAGAGAGAATCATCTGGAACACTTGGCCTATTCCCGTGTAGCGGATTCCCGCACTATAAGAGGCGGATATATAGAGCGAAGTGGGGGAAAATTAGTATGACGCACAAAGCAGTGGGATGGTCTCCCCAGGCAAAGAGACTCTGAGAACACCGATTGGTTCTACTGAAGATGCTATAGGAGTAAAAGTTACGTTGTTGCTCCCTTTGATCCCCTCGACAACACAGTCGACTATGAACATCGCACCTCCCTCGCGGGTCTCCCCGGCGAAGTTAACGCCGAGAGACTTGCGTACAGTACCTTCAAGACATTGAGTCATAGCGAGGAAAAGTATTGAGGACAAGAGGAACGAACTGTGTCCACCGTCGGCCCCAACGACATAGGCAAACTCGGCTTCCTCCGTCACGGTCTTCCCGTCAACGGACTTGGCGAGTTGCGTGACGACCTTTTCGCCATCTCGCTGGAAAGAAACGAAGGCGGTACCCAGCTCGTGTGACACTGCATCCCAGTGCCTCGATAGCTTTGCGGAGAATAGCCTGGTGCTTCCACTGTCCGAGCGATGCTGGACGTGTCTGCACCCCAGTCAGCGGTCTACCGATTAACGACTGGGAGCCACGGGTGGCCGCGCACCTCAGAAAAGGCTGGAGTGGGATCGACCTGCTCTACAATCTTCGTGCTCTTGATGATCTTGTACGGATCTTTGGGATCGTGCAAGTTGAATGTCAACGGGGGCGCTGCCACCTTCTTGACGTCGTCGGCGACGCCGAGGAAGTGCTCGATCTCAAGCGTACGAGGCTGACAACGATGAGCGATCGCAGTCTCGTGCAAAGCAAGGTGTTGCACACCATGATTCCAGGGCCACGTTCGCCACGGTGGTGCTCGGCATCTTTCTCGATGATACGCACGGAGACGCCGTTCTTGAGCAACGACAGAGCGAGCACGAGTCCCGATGGACCAGCGCCGACCTGCGAGTTGGACCCTTCAGTCCAGAATGAGACAGACGGCTTCAGATATTTCACTTACAACTAGGACAGTTGGAGAGGACATTTGGTCAGTAGCGGTAGCTCAGCTGGAGCACTCGCTGTTGGCAAGGAAGGTGCTGTCTGCAGCCCCCGGCAGTGCAGGGTTATTGAGCCAGTGCAGTTTCAGCGCGAGCTCACCGCGTTGCTCAAACGCGGTATGTTTGCCCGAGTGCGGCCTTCGGCGAGACCGAGGTTTGATGCGTGTTTCGCAGGAAATAAGTGCATAGTACCCTGCACGAAGTTCCAGCCAGTGTATATGGTGTCGGCCGGGTGTCGTAAGCGTCGCCTTGGAGCGTGGCCATCTGGCCTTCCTTCGTGCTCTGTGCAGTCAATCTGCATGCATGGCGCGTGTCTCCGTCGTCTCTAGGCTACAGTGTGCTTCCCCGCCCACGACACCCGCGGACCGCGGGCCGTGACGCTGATGCGCTCGTCAGCCAGCTTACACAGGCCAGTCTCGCTTCACGTTCAAGCCATTCACTGCCTGGCCGCAATGCTCCGGTCAGAGTCTAGCGTTCCGTGACTCGCGCAGGAACACTCCTTGTACACGCTCACCATTCAGGCAAAATCAGCTGGTACACCAACATAGCGTGTGATCGCGTACCAGGCGGGACAAGAAGCTGTCCTCCATCCCTGGCATCGTCAGCGACCACTCAGATGAACTTCGAATCCGGATGCCGCGACGCCGACTGTGGCCGAACGCACACACAGACATGGGGTATATAAATTGTGAGCTCCCCTCATTGCCACACCACTGCCATCGTCCATACCAAGTCTCATTATGGAACAGGTTCGCTCTCTACTGCCCCAGCTAGATCTCAAACTCGCTTCCGTACTTCTTGTGGCGGCACCGCTCTTTGCATGGGCTGTTCCTTTTCTCGTCGACAAGCATGGCTTAATGGCATTTCCTGGACCTCTGCTGGCCAAGTTCTCCAGCCTCTGGTTCGCTTTGAAAGCGTACAAAGGCACGACGTCGCTTACGGTTCATGCACTGCACGAAAGATACGGTTAGTCCTCACGCCAGCTAGACACACTCATGTTTAACGTCTCCACAGGACCCTTCGTTCGTCTTTCGCCCCAACATGTTTCCATTGCCGATCCTGAAGCACTACGAGCGATCTATGGTCACTCCTCCGGCACACTCAAGACGGAGCTCTACGACGCTTTCGTAACTTTCTTCCTAGCGTATTCTCTTCCCGTTCTCGGCTAGAACACAGCCGAAAGCGGAAATACACAGCTCATGCCATGTCTGTGAAGGGCATAATGCAGTTCGAACCGAATGTACGTGAGCATCAGCAGATGCTCGTGAAGCGCTTGGACACTTTATGTACCGTCGGAGCGCAAGGTGTGGATGGTGTTCTCGGATCATGCCCCTGGGCGGCCAGAGACGGTTGGGTCTGGTTCGACTGCATGCCATGTAAGGACATTATTTCGCAGCAGAGGTATTAGAAACTCATGATTCAAGGGCAGGGTTTAATTTTGAGACATTCGACATCATCGGTGCGTTCCGTTATCAGACTATATGTCAACATTATTCATCGTTCCCATAGGAGATCTTGCTTTCGGCGCATCCTTCGGCATGCTGGAAGCAGGGAAGGACACTGCGCCTGTGCCGGTATACACGGACCAGGCCATGAAATCCTATGGTCAAAAGGACACAGACCTCGAATGGTCGACAGCTCCAGCAGTACAGATTCTCAATGAGGCCATACCTTGGTTCTTCTTCCTCGGCTGCCTTCCGCCTCAGGCTCGCCGACTGGTGTCTACACTCCAGTCGTTCAATGCCGGAGGGTCCCGCAACCTCATCGGAAAGATCGCTGTCGCCGCTGTATCCAAACGTCTAACCTCCGAAGTTACAAGAAGAGATTTCCTTTCCCATCTCGTCGCGGCTCATGACGACCAGGGCAGGCCGCTTAGTCAGCAAGAGTTGACATCTGAGGCTATAAGCCTCATCGTCGCCGGTTCTGACACTACCTCTACGTCAGTAGCGAGGCCCTTAACATAGTAAATCACTGGTCCCACTCATAATTTCCAGATCCATTGCTGCCATCACCTATCACGTCGCGCGGACTCAGGACGTCCAAGCAAAACTTCAAGAAGAGCTAGACGATGCTCTCGGGGTTCCAGACGCTAGCTCCAATGCCGATAATGTCGTCGCACCCTTTGATCTCGTCAAGAACCTCGCGTATCTCCAGGACGTTATCAACGAGGGTCTTCGCCTCCATTCCACCATTGGCGTCGGCTTACCCCGCGAGGTCCCTGAAGAAGGATTGACAGTCGCAGGAAAGGCCCTCTTGCCCGGCACGCATGTCAGCTGCCCTTTGTACACGCTGCACAGGCTGAAATCAATCTGGGGCGACGACGCGGACGAGTTCAACCCCGATCGCTGGGCTCGAGGTGACAGGAAAGCCATGCTCAAGTATTTCGCCCCCTTTTCGACGGGCCCCAGGTGAGTGTTACCATCGCTGTCACGGCTCGAGGCTTTCGGTTCAAATACGTTGGGGCCCTCGTTTGCAGGGCTTGCGTGGGCAGGAACCTGGCGACGATGGAGATGACGATCTGTATCGCCACCATATTCCATCGCTACCGCGTTGTCCTCGCCAGTCCCGACCAGCAGGTGAGTCGATTGCCCGACGTACAGCATAAGGACATTACTGAAAGTGGGCTCCTTCTGGACTAGCTCGAGTGTCATGAAGGGCTCGTGCGCAAGCCAAACAGCGTCCCTGTCGGTATGCGGCGCCGGGTTTGATGGCCTTATCAGTCGTGGGCGTTGAACCTTGCGGAATTTTCACGTCCGAGTCTATTGCAGACCTGGCCCTAGCAGTAGTGGCTATCGACACAATGCTAGTGCTCTTTTTCGCACGCTTTCTCCGGCACCTCTTACTGTTGCCCACGAGGAAAAGATTAGATGGGCCAACTGGTAGATACGAGCGGCGCTCTCTATGAGATGCATGCGATCGTGAGTGTGTGATATACGATTGAGTGGCCAATAATCGTACCATTGTTGACCTATGCTGGGGAGAAAGATATATTGCTCAGAATTACCTACAGAAAGACCGCAACAACTCATGGCGGCTGAGTCCACAATGTCCAGCGCCGCTGCGCAAGAGCGATTACTGACAGCCTTCTGCACCACACGCCACGACGACTATGCTATCCGCCAGGTGCCGCCCGACGTACCTAAAGCGTATATATCGCGCAACGTCTCCGCTAACAAGGACGACAGCGTCGCCCGCGTTAGACGATGCTCCCTCAGTGGTGATGTGACGCGAAAAGTGTTTTATTGCTCATCTCCTAAGTATTGTGTCGATTATCTCAAGCCTCCCGCTGCCTCCGCCATCCCTGGTTCCTTTTTTGTTTTATCTTGTGTGGCTCCCGCGGCGCGCGCCTAGGTCCCTCAGGCTCCCTTAATTCCCCATAGTCCGGCCACACCAACGATTCCCGGATTTCGACGTCGACGTCGACGATATCGTGTTCAACCAGAAGGTTGTGACACTTGGTGACCACGTCGACGCCGTCATGGCCAGAGAGAGATGCGGGTCTCACGCCAATCCAGACGACGCGAGCCGGGGGCGTGAGATACTCCTCGGCCTCCCCTATGCGGAGAAGATCGATGCTGGTCCATTGCACCTTCATCGAACCCAGGAGGCCGCAGAATTTGAGACCCAGGCCACCTTCCCAGACCTCCTTGAGCGGGTGGTTGCCGAAGACGCGGAGCTCCTTGCATGGCCAGTCCGCCTCCGGGCCCGTGGGCGCCTCCCACGGAGTAGTGCTGCTTCGAGCGACCAAGACTGGTTTAGAGTGCAGGCCATAATAGTAGTACTTGGCCTCCATCTCGGACGGAGGTGACGGGAGCATTGTGGAGGAGCTCTGCGGCGGGGAAGTATCTCCCATGGTTGGGAAACTAGCTGAAGGCAAGGTTTGAGAAAGCGGGCAGTCCTGGCACTCAGTAAGTGGCCTTAGTGACCTGCAGATAGTGACGAACCGCGAGGAACTGAGTTCGGGAAGGCAGTAAAAAAAAGAAAACCGGGACTCACTTGTGATGCTGGTGACGGTGAGAGTTAAGTCGGTGAATTAGCTGGGTGCAGAGAGTTTAAGTACTGGGTTGAGGGACGCCCCTTTCCAACTCCCCCTAAAACCGGCGGAACCGATTTCGGTGGCAGCTAGGAGTCACAGAGCGTCATAGACATGTGCATCAGACGCTCCCTGTACGCTGCTTTGAGCGTAGAGCTGCCGGCGAAAGTGAGGCCAGAACTTAGTGGACGCTGAAAGGCTACTTGGTCGGCGAGCACTTTGCATCCGATAATATCTTATCGACCATAGCATGCTTCATAAACAGCCATAGACAAGGCTGAGGCATATCGAGAGACAATGTACAAGCATGCATTCAGATGTCCTACCAGTAGATTCATAGCTACAGAGGATTCGTGGCATCTGATTGGCCAGATCTCAAGCATGAGTGAAAACTAAAGAGAAATATTTCTTCAAGCCCGTGGACGAGGTGGCGAAGGCACCAATCATGCCGTCAGGGCGAATCGCAACGGCAACAGGGCCCGTCTGCCCGTCCAGACCATACCCTTTCCTAGCATAGCCGTCATTATCCTCAATGACAGTGTCGACACCGCCGTAAGCCGTAGGTGCAGGCGTTTCCCCGGGAGTCACGACGAGCAAGACCTTGAAAAGGCCAGAAGGTAAAGCGCGGACGGCGTCGAGCATCGCCGCCTCCTTCTCACCGACACCGAAGAGCAGCACAGTGTGGTGACCAGGTCCAAATATGTCGAATAGCCGCGTGTCCTTCCCGCCGACGCACACAGGCGCGTCGGGGGCACGGTCGCCGGCCCGGACATCCTGCTCCGGCTCGCCATAGGCGACACGCGTGCTCTCGCCGCCGACGAACCTTTCGTCGAGCACGACGGTGCTCCAGCGGTAGTTGACGTCGAGCTGGTAGAGCTTCCTGCCGCGGAACCAGCCGTGCTCGCGCGCCGCAGCGTTCGCTCCGGCCTGCTCGGCGGCGCGTGCAGCTGCGAGCTTGCGCTGCGTGTCGACATTGAACGCACGGTCGTAAAGCTCCGTGGTGATCTCGAGCATGGCAGAGATGACGGGCATGCGCTCGACCTCGTAGGAGGACAGCAGGGAGGGAGAGGCGTGGCCTTTCACGGCGAGGGCGAGTTTCCAGCCAAGGTTAAACTGATAAGAATTGCGTTAATCAAGCAAAAGTGCACATGAGTATATTTCACTTACGGCGTCCTGAATGCTAGAGTTCATGCCTTGGCCTCCGGTCGGAGAGTGCGTATGGGCGGCATCTCCAACGATGAAAGCCCTGCTGGCCTGGAATTTCTCTGCCATGCGAATGTTCGCTCTGGGGTCCATGTTAGCTATTCAGAAGCAGGAGACTGCATTGGACGTCCGACTGATCGTACCTCCATTCTCCCTGCCAGTTAGTGATCTCCGTTACGACGAGATCAGCACGACCGGACACTCTGCTAAATTCCTTCTGGAGAGCCTCGAGGCTGCGCTCAGCCTTCAAAGTAGCGTAGTCCACGTCAGGGCCAGAGAGGATCATCTGGAACTCTTGGCCCGTTCCAGTGTGGCGGATGCTTGCACTGTAGAAGATGGTTTAGGGGGATAAAATGAGTGGAAATTTGGAAGACTCACAAGGCACTGGTAGCGTCTCCCCAGAGGTAGAGGTCCTGACAATATCGGAAATTGAGTTATGACCCCCAGAGCTGCTGCAGAGGTGGCACTTACGTTATTACCATCGATGCCTTCGACAACGCAGTCAACAACAAACATCACGCCCCCTTCACGAGTTTCCCCGACAAAGTTGATGCCGAGAGACTTGCGCACAGTGCCTTTCGATGGCATTATTAACCATAGCGATGAGAATGGTTAAGATTAAAAGAATACATACTGTGTCCGCCGTCAGCCCCAACGACATAGCCGAACTCGGCTTCCTCCGTCACGGTCTTCCCGTCGACAGACTTGGCCAATTGAGCGACAACCTTTCCTCCATCCTGCTGGAGAGAAACGAGGGCGGTGCCAAGCTCGACCTTGGAGCCCAGCGCCTCAATCGCCGTGCGGAGTATGGCCTGATGCTTCCACTGCCCGAGCATTACCGGGCGCATCTGCAGCTCGGTCAGTCATCGACCAACCGGAAACTCGGAGCTAAGAGCCGCCGCGCACCTCAGGGAAGGCCGGGGTAAGGTCGAGCTGCTCAGAGATAACCACGCTTTTGAGGATCTTCTGGGGGTCTTTAGGGTCGTGCACATGGAATACCGGGCTGCGCGCCGCCGCCTTCTTGACGTCGTCGGCGACGCCGAGAAAATGCTCGATCTCCAGCGTGCGAGGCTGCAAGCGACTGAGTAGGCGAGCAGATGCAGGCAAAGAAACGTGGCACGTACCATGATTCCTGGGCCACGCTCGCCACGGTGGTACTGGGCATCTTTCTCGATAATGCGCACGGGGACGCCGTTCTTGAGCAGCGTCAGAGCGAGCACAAGTCCGGATGGACCAGCGCCGACCTGCGATTTGAGTCTTTTAGTCTGGAATGAGACAGGGAGTTTTAAGTGTTTTACTCACAACTAGGACAGTCGGAGAGGACATTTCGAAAGTAAATGGTCTCGTTTCTTGAAGTGCTGTTGGTGAGGGATGCGATTGTCTGCGGCGCCTCCTGGTATTTATGCACTGTTTCAATCTCCAGCTGGAGGCTACGCCGTCTTCAATGTGAATCGAACGGGGCTGAGAGCCATGCTCATTTGCTACCCTATCCGCTCAGTACCCTGTTCGTTTAGCTGCCGAGTGCATCCGTACGTGAATTGAAACCCTTCACGCCCAGAACGGGAATGCAGTGTAGCGCGCGTCGCTTCGGCAGCGGCTGCCGCCAAGCGCAGACGCGTACGCGCGGTGACAACCTTCGCATGCAGATGGCAACGCACGTAGAACCATGCGGGTTTCAACGTCCTTCGGCGAACAAAGCAACAGAAATACCACGGCATTGCAAGGTGAGCACGCACGCGCGCCCTCGCGGCGCCGTGCTCCTACACGTCGGCTGCTAACTTCTGCCGTGTCGGAATATCTTCTGCCGTTCAACGCTATCCAATTACCCTGTGCACATCTACAAGTACAGTTCCATAGATCGACAATTACCGTAAGGACGCTCACTGTCTCTGCCGCAGCGATTGCGACGACTCCGTTCTCCCCAGAAGCCCGCCGACGACATTCGAGACGGTTTCGGTGATCTGCCGCGGCTGCGTCTGGGTGTGCTTCACGTAGAAGAGCCGCACACTCGTCGCGTTCCAGATGCCGAGCGGCGTCATGCCGCGGACGTAGATCTCGCCCCAGATGAGCGAGGTCAGCCAGACAATCGACGCGTCGGTCCACTGCGCGTATATGGTCAGTAATGGGTGCTGACAGTAGCACCCGAGAGTACTCACAGCGAAGCGTCTCGGGCTCAGCGGAGGAGATTTGGGCAGGTGCTCCTGCAGTGCTGCACTACGCAACAAGTCCACGATGGCGCTGTTTGCCGTCGGGCCGCTCAGTGACGACTGCAGCCCTTGGATCTTTGGGTACAGCTCTGAAGTTACAATCATTATGACATCCAGCGGCAGCCTGCTCAAAGTCAGTAATGTCATTTCTTTTCACATGTGCACGCACCCTTGTTGCCAGGACGTAACCCATTCCTGTGTAGGGACGAACCCATTCCTACCCACGCCCGACGCAGCCAGCCTCTCCAAGCTGCCCGTGAGCTCCTCCGACCCTGCTCTCGCCCGCATCTTGCCTCTCGCCTTCTCAGAGGGGCCGTTCGGCGGCATTTCGGTCGACACCGACGCAATCGGCAGCGTGGGACTCATGAGCGGCCTGCCCGTGCGATCCTCCGACGTCGACCGCCTCTGCGCTTCGATGTCGTCCGGCCCATCATCTCTGCTTCCTGTGCGCACGAGCCGGGCCTTCTCGTCGCCTGGCTGCTCGGCATCTGACTGGCTCGCTCTTCCTTTCTGCTTGTCTGACGAATCACGCGCACACTCTTCTTTGGCGAGCTGCTTGCGCCGGATTTCACGCAGCCCGCGTGCGAGCGTGAATGTGCCAAGGTCCTCGAAGGTCTTGTTCGCACGTACGATGTTGTAGACCAAGTTTGGGTTTTCAGAAAGGTTGCGCAGGAGCACAGCGTTGAAGACCTCGAGCCTGGAAGGCATTGTTAGTTGTATCTGAGGAAAATGTAGAACTGGTTCTCACATGAAAAATAGTAGACGTGGGTACCCTTCGTCAGAAAGTAGGAACGAGGCGTTCGAGAAGGCATTGAACAGTTGCATGAGACGCGCTGAGGAGTTGATGCTGAGGTTCTTGAAGTACGGCGCAGCATTCGCTAGAGCGATGACAAGAGCCGGGTATAGCGAGCTGAGTGAGCCTTGTGTTGTCGCAATCATGGAGTATACGGCCTATCGTATGGTCAGAAAATTCAAACTGCTGCTCACAAGAAGACTCGCATTGATGAGGAAATCGCCTGCGTTTCCTAAGACCGTCACCTTCGGCGGGAGTTGCACCTTTATTGGAGAAGCCAGCTTCGCACCAAAAGCACGTTCCGCAGATAAACTCTGAATAATGTAGGATATTGAGCGACAAAGGCCGTGTTGCTCTGCGGGCATCAAGTCAGGTATGGAGCCTCGTTTGTGAAGCGGCCGACGCACCCGGCTTGTCCTTGATTTCGATTCCATAGCAGAGCAGATACGCGATGATGTCCATGCCTCTGTCGGACTCGAGAACGAAGGTCCGGAATTTCTGAAACGGATAGTGTCAACGACAACTTCAACGAGGATAGTACGATGTCTGACCTTGTTCAACTCAATTATTTTCCAAAAGAAGATTACTGACGAAAAGTCGTCACTGAGGTACACGGGAGTTGCTGTCACCTTCAATACTCACCTGTCTCTGTAATGTACGGAACGCCCTTTTTGGAGCCAGGAAGCAGGTTATTGAGTGCCGACATCTGCTCCCCAAAGATGCCCAAGACACCGCTCAATATAAATTCGAAATCGGTCGTCCTGTGCTATTTAAGACATGAGACGGCCTGTTGTTGAGTAGCATAAGGAAGACGCCTACCAGCTTCATGACGAAGTATCTAAATGCGTTCGTCTTAGCCGACGGGGTCGACGACTCTCCATCAGCCGAAGCGATATCTCGCGCGCTCCCGCTCTGGAAGTCTAACAACACGCACAAAACCTGCAGACACATACCCACGAGTGTCGCCTTTGAGTCTTCTCCTTTGAATACCCAATGGTTGTATGGCAGTTTCCCCGCGACGCCTCCGATCAAATTGTTGGTGGTGGGCCGCGCGGCGTTCATTACCGTGTTCAGCAGGGAGCAGAGGATGGTGAGGACATCTCGCCTCGGGGTATGCTGGACGAAGTGAAGGGCATATAACGATGGGGAGGTGAAGAGGGAGGAGGGCGGCGCGTAGATCTGCTTCGAGAAAAGCACAAGGAGTGTGCGCAGCACTTCCGTTCTGTTGCTTTCGAATTGCTGACCGGGTCCCGGGTCCGTAGTCGAACCTACACCTTTCTCCCTGAGACGGTTGAGCAGAAACAAGACCATAGCAGTACACGGGGACGCACCAAATAGTATAATTAATCTTATAATGGTCAACTTGTATCTTCGCAGGCAGCGTGAAGCCACAGCAGAACATGAGGTCGACAAGACAGCTGAACAGACGCTCCACAACAGATGGCAAGGCCTTCGCTGTCTTCGGCTGCTGTGGGGGCGAGCTGTGTGAAAGGCCAGGTGTAGACGGTGCAGACAGTCCTTCCCCTTCGTCGTCATCGTCTTCAATGACGAACTGTGGCTTCGACGCTTCCTCTGCGACCTGACTTCCTTCTTGAGCAGTCTCCCGCTTCCAGAAAATCTCCATCTCAAGCCGGCTGGACTCCCCTTCAGTCTCGAATACCACCGGCAGGACGCGCTGCAGCACTCGCAGGCAGTTTAAGACCTCTTTTGTCGCGTTCCTGTCTTGCATACCGGTACTGCTCCTGATAAATGAGCTGGCAAAGGACGTGACGGATGCGGTTGCCGTAGGGAACGTATGGTCGGAGACGAGATTGAAGAGGCGGCTTGTTATGACCTTGATGAGTGTGGCGACATTCTCAGGGGCTTCACAAAGAGCTCTGCGCACTATGATAGTTCAAGCAATGATTTTATATAAGTCGTAGTTTGGCGTACCGTCATGGAATGAAATGAGTGTAAACACATCTGAAGCTGTGTCGAATAGCACAAGGTACTGGAATGAGGAGGTCAGTCTTTGGACACAAGACCGTACAAAGGACTACTCACTTGATTCCAATACGAATCTGTCTCAGGTATATTCTGCCATACCCTCCTTCAATGACACAGCAATGCCAGTGCTGAACAATGCACTCACACGCATCGTGACAAGCTTGGCTATGCCCCCAGGCTGGTTCCGGAAGGCGAGTTTGGCCTCATCTCCTAGCAAGTTAAAAGGCATTTTCTGTGGTAATCTGGCAAACATCTCGAGGCCTCGGAGACCTGAGAGTGAAGACGATGACAGTGCTTGAGCAATTCAAAGCAGTACTTATGCGGCGTCGTCCGCCCGAGGCTTCGATCGCTTGCGGCGCCAATCAATTGATCCTCAGAGCGGCACTACAAGTCAATTGGCCCGTACATGCAGCAAAACCAGTACTTCCTACCTAACCGATAGTGCCGTTACTAGTAATAGTCTTTCGGTACGTTTTACATAATCAGATCGGATGAAGGAATTTATTCTGAGCTCTTTGCCTTTATTGCGCTTCGCGTTTAGCAGGGCGCTAAGACCTTTCATTGCGCGCAGGGCCACGACCTCAGACTCTTATACTTTAACTCTGCACACTCCAATGAGGCTGGATCCTCGAGTGCATAGATCGAACGCTGAACAACTATTAGCTGATGAGTCCGCGCCGAGAGCGCCGCTAGCGACTGACCCAGCATCCTTGTTCGTGCTCCACTCAGCGGTCGCTTGAGTGATAAATCATAAACTTGAATGGTTGTTCACTGTACATGTGTTATAGTTCAATGGCAAGTGGCACACTTGCGGCGTGGGGTGATGAAGTAAACACGATCAGCGAGCACGGTAATAACGGCCACGCTTTGAAAGGTTGTCGATCCAAGACCTGAGTAGAGGGAAGTAGCTTGAAGGAACATCGTAAATGTGCACAGGCGGTCCAGACTCCACTGAGGGAAATTCGGCTCGGGAGGAAACTGCCAATATTATTGTGGAGTCGAGAAACGTGAAACCTGGACGCTCATATAGCTTTTTTTGGCCGAACATATCCGGTCGCTGCGCTCCGTGGTGACCCCAACGTCGTATCTGTCTTAATAACTCCCTTCTGGGTCTGTGTGGCATGGGCTCATTGGGGCATTAGCCGACGACAGACATCGTTTTCAGTTATGTATCCCCCTGGACTCAGGCGTCTGACGCGAGACTGCAATTGGTACATAATCGTTCCGTTGCCAATACTAATATCTCGGGCCTTACCAGCATAACGTGAGTCTCAGTCTGGCTTGAATTTTCACCGCGCGAGGGCCTTATACTGGCATCATCCACCCTTGCTACCACAGTACCCTCTGATCCTTTCCATAGCCACTGTAGACTACCGATTTAGCAGGCCTAGAATCACCTGTCGCGACCGATAGTAGCAGACATATGACATTCAGGAGGCATGCAATGGCATTAATGAGGCTAGAGTTGCTGACATGATCGAGGCATAGGCAGGTAATGGGAGATTCCCGGACGTCCTGTAGGCCTTGCATCACTCCGGCTTTTCGGATGGCCCTAGCTTAATTTCCGACATTGGAATTTTCTATTGGAAACCACGTTCACTACTCGACGCTCCGAAACGGGTCCAGAGGTCAGTCATCTCTTCCCATGGACCCTAGCTGGAAAAAGGTCACGAGGTGCTAAGCAGAGTTGCGGCATCACGAATCCACAATAGGTGCATTACGCGTCACGCACTCCGCATACACCTTACAGTGGTTGGGTGTCTGCAAGAACCTGTGTTTCCAAACACGACGCCGCTGCGGGGAGCGCCTTCGAATTGTCAAGAAATCGGCCATAGGCGCCTATAAGGATTCGCGGAGTATCCAAGGATATGATGCTAAATCTAGGCTAGCTATCAACTCCGCTTCGCGCTCTTCACCTTCCATCTCCGTGAACAGGAACGCGAAATACTGCAGTCGCTTACATGACAAGTGCCGACTTCGACGTGCTAATACATGCATTAATTTCCGGAGTGCGCATGCGCGTAAATAAATTAACCGTCAGTCAAATATACAATGTGGTCGACGTCTTAGGACACTAATGTGGTTGAGGACCCTCTTTTGAGCAAGAGGTGCATTCAGGAGAACTAAGAGTGCGTAGAAGCACCCGGGTGTACTGCGGAGACTGGCTGAATGGAAACGGCTGTGTTTTCCCCGCCCTCCTGCCTTCTTTTCTCTTGCTCGCCTCCCTTCTTTTCCTTCTTTTTATCTTCACGCCACTTTTCCTCCTCCTCTCGCAGTCCTCCAGGGAAGAACGTGTCTAGCAGCGCCAATCCGACGTGCGGCTCAATGTCCTCCGCCCCCTGAAGCGCCTTAAAAACCTTCTCGTCCTTATGGATCTTGTAGCACTTGAGATGAAAGCCAAGGGCATCAGCTCTGCGCCGTACCCCGGCCGAGATAACGTTCTGCAGCATACCAACGCCACCGATAGCGAGTAGATACCATCCGTCGTTCTCGACGCTCTGTACCGTCATCAGGTGTGCGATCCAGAGGAAAGCCAGGGCAAAGGTCATAGCAGCTGTGAGGCGCGACGGCACGATGCGCCCAGCCGCCAGATCCTCTAGCTTGAGCCCATGGCCGACGCTCTTGATGACGACCACGTGTGAACTGCCGTTTCCCGCAGTGAGGCAGACGACTTCTGAGGCTATTTTGTCGCGCTTGCTCTGGGTTATGAGGTCGCGAGCGCGCCACATCTCCTCCTGCCACTGCGGCAGCGCCGCACTGACCTGAGCGAGCAGCGTGCCGCCTATCGTGATGATCAGTATAACCCAGTTGCCTTGCAGCGCACCCGGGATGCATGCGATCCCGAGCTGGAAGACGATCACGAAGAGACCGAGGAAAACTACCCAGTCGGCGTTTCGTACCCCTGTTGCGGACTGCGTCAACGTCTCGTAGAACAGGAGGGTGAGCCCTTTGGGAGGGATCTTGAGCGGGGGAGGGATGAGGTCTCGATAGAGACGGGCGAGAACCCAGGACTTGACGTCGCGGTCATAGCCTGTCTTAACATTGATGCATGAGACATCCATGTCAGGTTCTGGCATGACGTTGCCGGTGCCGACAGCAGAGAGAATGGCAGAAAAGGAGTAAGCGACCCAGCCGAAGGAGAAGGCGACAGGTGTGATCATGCAGCTGCCGACAAGCTGGGCCAGAGCGCACTGCACGACGTCGCCACCGATAATCATAAGGACGGTGAGAATATCTGTGGGGTTCTGCCATTGTGCTCGGACGGCAGCGAAGCTGGTACGAGCTCCGGACTTGATGGAAGCGTGAAGGAGACTGAGGCGGGGAGGAATGGGAGACATGAAGAATAGCTTGGCTGTTATCACTGAGCATGCTACTGGCTTGAATATTGAATGAGTGCTTACTATGTTCGACGTAGGCAAGAGCATGGACTGCCGGGGAGCCAGTCTCTCAGCCTAATATAATACATCCTGACGCTGGGTGCGTAGGTGCAACGTGCGTAACGGCTCTGAATTACGGCGAGGCATGTGAAGTCTTGCAGCGAGGTTCCTTCCTGCGCCGCTGCCGCACCGATTAGGGACGTAAACCGTGCTAGAACTATGGCGTCGATCCTACGGAACTCTGTCGTAGACATGTACCCCCGACACACCTCGACATCTGGGGTTATCATAAGCGCACATCGATACGAGAGAGAAAAACGCAATAGGGTTCATTGTCACGGATCAAGTACTGGTATTGAAGGACAGCATGGGGGAATTTGACAGGAGAAACTGCATCCTTTCACACAGAACAAAAATGTGGGAACAGTAAAATAAAGTCTGAATTGCAAACCATGTACCTGCTGCTCATTTAGTATTTACTATAGGCACTGCCGGGTATGGAGCGTACCACTGTGTGTCTAAGAGGCTGCGTAAGTAGGTGCCTCTAGTTCTTGACCCGCTTCTCGTACTCCTTTGAGGGCAGAGAGGTATCCACGACGGCAGATGCGGTAGATTTCTCCTCCTCGACTCTTGTATTAGCGTACTGTGTAAGCTTATCGCGACGCCAATCCTCTTCCCATGATCTCAGCCCTCGAGGGAAAAAGACATCCAGCAGCGAAAGTCCAACTCTCTCTTCCTCCTCCTCTGCGACCTGAAGGGCCTCGAAGACCTTGTTGCGGTGAATGGTGCGTCGCTCTTTGATATGAAATCCAAGCGCGGCGGGCACACGACGGGCGCCAGCGGAGACGACGTTCTGAGTCATTCCGAGGCCGCCTACTGCGAGGAGATACCATCCGCCATCAACGACACCCTGGACGGTAATGAGATGTACAATCCACAGAATAGCCAAGACGAACGTGGCGACTGATGTGAAGCGCGATGGTACAGTCCTCCCTCCGGCAAGATCTTCGAGCCTGCGACCGCACCCGATGCTCTTGATAACGACGACATGCGAGCTACCGTTACCTCCCGTCAGGCAAACCACCTCCACCTTGTCTTCCCGCTCTTCCAACTTCCGCGCACACCACATCTCCTCTCGCCATTGAGGCAGTGCAGCGCCTAATTGCGCCAGTAGCGTCCCCCCGGCAGTAATGATGAGAATGACCCAGTTGCCATTCAGGCCACCGGGGATACAGGCGATGCCTAGCTGCAAAGCGATGACGGCAATGCCGAGGTAGAAGACCCAATCAGGGTCGCGGAAGCCAGTGGGTTTTGCTGGCGTTGTATCGTAGAATAAGACAGTGAGGCCAGCTGGGGAGGTTGGAGGGATAGGCACAAGATCGCGATAAAGACGGGCCAGGACCCAAGACTTGACCTCACGATCATGACCTGACTTGACGTTGATACACGTGACCTCGGTATCTGGCTCGGGTATGACCCTGCCTGAGCCTACAGCGAATAGGATGGCGGAGAAGGAGTAGGCGACCCAGCCGAAGGAGAAGGCGACTGGAGTTATCAGCCATGGACCTGCGCTTAATTGAGCGAGTGCGCATTGCACAACGTCGCCGCCAATAATCATGAGAATGGTAAGGATGTCAGTTGGGTTCTTCCACTGCGATTCAACTGCAACAAAATCTGTATGGGTCTGGGATTGGCCTCTAGCCTGTCTCAGGCCGGAGAGTGGCATATCCCAGTGAGGTGGCATCGGAACGAGGCTCGAATGTCGTCTGTGCGGAGAGCTGGCAGTGGTGGCTGCACGCAGAGGGCGGTGCGGCGGTCTCTGGGCTCCACAATATGAACGTGGGGGTTTCGCACGAGGACGCACCTAGGAGGCGCACATGGCTTCTGTCATCTCTTCAATTTTCGCTCGAGCTTGAGCTTGAGCTTGCACTCATCGTGCTTGGGCATTTTCGCTTTCAAACCCCTCTATGAGTCTGTCTAACATGCCGTTCAATCTCTGCAAAACAGACGAAAGAAACTTACACTGCAAATTTCTGTGTTGATGCCGATTGCTTACTTTTGAACACTTTGATCCAATATGCCGGATCCGCCATTCGAATAAATCGCTCCTCGAGGGCCACAAAGTCCGGCTATTTGGACCTGGTTGGCTCAAAGGCTGTTCCCCGTTATCCAGATACGTGACCGGCCAAGTGGTCCGAACACTGCCCTACCGTCATCCAGATATGGGGTGCTATGAGTGCGGAGGGCGCCTATTTCCGGGGAATTCCGTGTCGTGTGCCCGTCGCGCGTCCCGATACACCTCCGTTTCAATCCTCGGTGAAGGGTGGAGTAGATGAGAGCAGTCTGGTGGTTCGGGCAGGGATCAATTCATGGTGCGTCGCTTTTATGTTTTGTGGCAGCCTCCAGGACCTGAGCTGCCTCATAGACCTGTCTGTGTTCGACGCACACACGACCATCGAGGGTTTCGTTACAATCCTCATCACACTCATCGTCGCGCGTATTTATTCTCTGCACATACTTCTGCCATAGCTGCTGCAGACCATCCCACGTTCTACGAGCCAATGTTTGTTCAACACGAAAATAACTCCTGTCACAGACAGGATCTCTGCTCCAGATATCAACCTCTGCCGCCTCTATATAAGAGACCGAGCCCGAGAAGGGGTCCGTGCACTTGTTGCGGATGCAGACACAGCTGCAGCACGAGAAGAAGGGTGCAAGCAACGCAGGCAATGAGTACTCAGGTTCTTGAAACAGTCCCTCGCTGTCCTGCCTACTGGCGACTTATCCCCCACATCCTCGGTATTGCTCATCACTAGCCACGGCTTTGGTAGTCTCGGCGAGGGCATCAGCCAGCTGCTCACACACAAGGAGCCCAAACTTCTCACGCACCTCGATCGCCTTAAGTTTGTCCTTGCTTACAACGCCTTCGCAGTGGACAAGCTCTGCAGACGTGAACTCCACCGACTTGTCCGCGCTATATGTTGGACCTCCAAGGTCGGCGCACCCTGCGCCAAACCACTTCCTACTGCCCGGCTCCGAATACGTCTCGTGCATGCTCTGAGGTGGCCTCTACCACATTAACGGCACAAATCTCATGCGCTCCCTCGTATTTCGGAGCCCAAGAACGAGGCCGGAGTAGTAACTTTTGTACTACATTCTGGACCACGGGTTCGTACCTAATCTCGCGCCAAATCCGCAGCGGGCCGCAGTCAGCAACGGAGGCCAGTAGGAAAGAGAATTCTGTTCTATAATACATGATATGTGCTACGGGTGAGAGATGGGTCTGCGAATACATGAACATCGTATTGAGTGAATAAAATAAAGGGAAGAAGTTACGTCTCGCAGTCGCGTCTATTTTTCTGCGTGCTCTCGCTCCAGGACCTTCTGCGGTACAGCCCATCGCGCGCGACGGATGACTTGGCCCTCCAATGGCGAAGCGTCGTAAAGCTGGCTTTGTGGATTGTTCAAATACTGGTCTCTGGTAGCTGAGATAATCGGCAGCTCCTCTCCTTCATCCTCAACAGCCTCTGTAGCGGGTCCCCCGATGCTGAACGTACGCTCCGACCAGGTTTTAACCCAGCGCATAGCGCTACGGCTAAACATGAGGTATGAGCAAACATGGAACTTATCCGGTGCGTGCTTCTGAACCACCATGGCGCGGATATTGTTGGCGTCATGTGCAGGAGTACCGCCAGGATAATAGCCGACGAAGAAGCCGACAAGGACTGCGAATGCTTCTCCCTCCATGATGTCGTCGTCCTCTTGGATCTCCCACAAGGAATCGTCCACGGCCTTCACATGCATTGGCTTTGCCACGTTCGAAGAGGCTCCTGCATCTGCTGTTGACAGCTGAACACGAACGGCTTTCGTGGTGAGCGTCAAATACCCTTCTTGGTCCATGGTAGCACACGGCATGGGGACCAACGCCTCCGCAATAGGGTACTCGTTCTCCATGAGCAATGAGACTTCTTGCAGACCTCCTTGGATCCTCATGTAAGCCTTGCCGGAGACAGATGTGCGAGGGAAGATGGGAAAGGTGGAGATGCGCTGCGAAGGCAAAACGCGAAATGCGGCGGCGAGCCAGGTGACGCGCCTGCCCTGCGCGAGAATTGCACGAGCGAGTGCAATCGTAGCCTCCGCACGATCGTTTTCGTGAAACTGTGAAGTATCGAGCGTGACGCCGAAGAGTCCCATGATGCTGAAGACCATATCGACAGAACGTGACGAGGTCCGCATGAGGGCACTCTGCCAGATCGAGTGGTCTTTGATGTCTTGATCGAAATCCTTCGACATTGCGCGTGCGAGGGCGCCGACGTTGGGAGACATAACTCTGCGGGTCGGTCTCCAGAAAGGAAAGTCACGGAATGATTGGTCGGAGGGATGCGAGCTGAAGAGTTTGACTTCCATCAGCAGCGTAGTTCTGTCCTCGATGGAGAGACTACCAGTAGTGCAGGCGTCGACGATAAGGGACAAGGGTGCCATTGCCGATTTGCTTGGAGTGACCTCCTCAACAACCCCAGGATTGTCTCCTGCGCGCACCCTGCAACCACCAAGCCTCCAGGAAAACAGGACGACGACAATAGGTGGAGCAACTGCCTCCTGTAGCGTCCAGCCTCGGTGGATCCACTGGGTTTCCTCGTCAAGGCGAACGAGACGCTGTATGCCGCCAGGTGCGACGACACAGACGTGACAAGAACGATATATGGTATACATCTCACGAATCTGCCATCGTTTATCGGCCTTGCTGGTCTGCATGATGCAGAGGCGATCAAGCCAGACATGCGTCGCTCCACGAGCCATAGATGCAATGCAGGCCTCACGGAGCACTTCGAACCCGATGGGATCGCCATCTTCCGCGCCCGTCACAGAGAATACGGGCCCAGCGAAATCCTGGTCGGGTGCGTTGCCTCGCCAGACATAGGACACGGTTGCATATGTATCAGTGGGAAAGCTCGTGTACTCGTAGATGGTCAGCTTGTCGGCACGGACGTAGTCGGCGCAGTCGATGAGGCGATATCTGCAGGGAGTGCCGCATTCCGAGATGTCGAGAACGCCACTTTGTTCGAGGGTGCGCAAAGAAAGTGAGCATATAGATGTCATGACTTGCAGATGTGATGTCTGAATAGGCCCTGCGGAAAGCGAGATATCTGTGAAGGTGACTCGTCGCGTGAGATTCTCGGGAAAAAATATAATAAAAGGAAACGCACGTCGATAGGTCTGCCCTTACCTCTGGCCTGTCCAGGTGAAGGACTCAACCCCGTGAGCTTTAGCCTTTGCATGAGGCACAGCGTCTGCATGCATATGTAGATAGAGTTCTATAGAAGCGAACCCCTGCGTTCCCGAGCTAGCTGACGCTCGGACCCTAGACAGATACGCACAAGCAAGGAAGTCTGCTGCGGCATCGCCTCCAGTTTGAGAGTTTTCGAAGCTCCCTCGGCTATGGGCCAGTCGCGGTAAGTAGCAGACTGCAGAAGATTTCTTTCTCGGCGAAATCCAGAGGTGGCCAGGGTCTTGGCACTCCCTTCGCACACATCAACCCAGGCCTTGAGCTTGAGCTTGAGCCCCTGAACGTTGAACGTCTGGCAGCGCATGTCCCAACGCGTCTTGCCTGTTCTACTCTCTCTCTTCACGGCACACGCGATCTGGATCTTCTTGACCTCCGTGTGGTGAAGCCGTGTGCGTGAGCTTTACCCGATAAAGAACAATGGGTTGGACGGTAACTACATGGGCACAAAAAGGTCACTCCGGCCATGGGCCGTGCGTACAGTAAGTCAAATCAACTGTGAAATATCAAACCTGTAGAATCTAATATATGGATGCTCCTGCAGTCTCATACTCCACCCGAAAATGCACAAATCTGACATTGTACCGCGGTGGTGCCCGCTCTTGCCTATGTCTAGTCTTGCACATAGCTCTATAGCTCCTTCTTCTCCGTGGTGCACCACAACTCGATCTGTCTCTCCGTTAAGCACGTTCAAAAACGCTTCTGTAGGGAGCTCGCTTGCGATTGTGGTGGCGCGCTCGTCGGGCTCGTCTTCCGCCAGAGTTACGTCGTACTGCCACCTCCCCAGCGGCTTCGATGTCCAGCTTGTCTGTGGCGAGTTCGCGTCCTCTCGTCTGTCAAGTATTTGGACAAGTTCGTGAAGGCTAGGAAAGACAGCATTGGTGGGGGATGGCGAGCTCTCGTCTCGGGTTTCGATTAGAGTCCCGGATCTTGGAGCTTCTAGAGAACACCAGAGCGGAATGTCGATCAAGGTACTTCCAACGTCGGGGTCGTCATCAGAACTTGAAGTTCGAAACAAAGTCTCGACCAACGCCAGAGTCACGGCGAATCTGTCATCCTCTCCGAAATCTCTCGCCTGTCTCTGAAACTCCTCCTGCACTCCTATCAGGCCGAGTACACTGAGAACCATATCAACTGGTCGAGACGATACACGCGTTGCCACGCCTTGAAGAATAAGCTGGCGAATGGTATGTTCTCCAACTATCTCCTCGCCTTCATCAGCTAAGTGGTTCCAGGCTTTATATTCGATGATTCTCCGCAGCGTGTTCAGGGCTGCACTGTTTCTGCCTAGAATCAAGCGCGGCTGGAAAGTGTGTGTGCTGGCGCCTGTTTCTTTGGTAGAAGGAACGTTGTCGTGTGTCGGTGGATCGGACAGCAGCTCGCTGCCCTCGACAAAAAGTTGATGGAGGTACTGCCAGTGACACTCGCCCTCGATCAGCCAGTGCTGCTCGCTCTTCGGCCGATACCAGTCCGCCGTCAGGACTACCGCAAATTCCCAGGTGACGATGGCCTCTTGGTACGTCCATGCGCGATCTGCCCAGCTCGTTTCCTCATAGACGGACGCCAGCCTCTGCAGCCCTCCTGGTAACACCACGCACTCTTGACACTGTTCATAGACGTCATACATCCGAGTGATTTGCCAGGACTTGTCGCGGCGACTCGTTTGAAGTATGCACAAGCGATCGAGCCACAGGTACGGTGCGCTGTACCGAGAGGACCATCGGCAGGCGTACTCCAGCACCTTTATACTGATCGGACCGCCATCCTCCCGTAGACTACCGTCGCTCCGCTTTCCACAGTAGACACGGAAGCTACCGCTCTTTGACAGCTCTTCGGCTGGCGACAGAAGGCCAAACCAGACGTATGACACAGTGGTATAGAAGTTGGGATCTGCGGGTAACACAGTCGTCTCGAGTATACGTAGAACGCCTTGGTCGATGAAGGCAGTGCAGTCAATGAACCGATATCGCTCTTCGGTGGCGTATTCTTGCAAATTGACAGTCGTGTCTCGCAGCTTGTCGAGAGCGAGGGTCAGTATTCTAATATAACCCGAAACATAAGTGCATTTTCCGGTGCGGGAATCGGGCTAACCAGGGCGACGTACTCAACAAAGGCGATATCGCCTTGACTCGTTGCGCCTTCGGAATTGCTCGACATACGGGGAGCGAGTCAAGATGCAGTGGCACGAGGCAGACTAGGAGCACTTGCGATCAAGGTTCATTCTCACGATTTGTTCTATGTGCGTACAAAGTGGTATTCTGTCGGCTTTCCGCTCCACGTCGCGCGCTAGGACTATCTGGATGTTATTGGACAAAAACAAGCCCTCGCCTTCGTGTTTTCCGAAGCCGTGGGCGTCTACAGATGGCTGTACGTGGCGTTATAGTTCGCGAAAGTGCGCATTAATATCTCGCGGACTCAAATTCATAACTCATCAACGCCGTTACCAATCTCGGGCAGACCCGACATTCTAGCGAGACCGCATATCTCCTTCGATATCCGACGCAGTCTCCGACTGCCAGCGAAGCCCTGGTGCGCCGAAATGGTTCGGGACGAGACGATACAAACGGCACTACAGTCACTAGTGGGTTCCTTTCGCGGTCCTCAATCGGCTTGGATGCACACGCATGTCGGCCGTGCGGCTTGGGGGCGTTTGAGTACTTGATGCGTTCCATCAACCTTGCTCCTCTAACTCTCCCCTTCTGTTCCCTGTCTCATCTTCTCTCGCTCTTGTGTATACTTTCCCTTCCGCACAGCCGGCCCAGTTTTCAGTTGTCCATCTGGTCATGTTCGACAGTGTCAAGTGGTTCACAGAGCTGATCAAACGCATACGTTACGGGTGGGATAGTTCTGTGTGTAACGCTTAAAACAATGCTCCCAGCTAGCATTCGAACTGACGACGATCACGTCACAAGGTCGAGCCTCGTGGAACCTCTCTCGCTGAAGCGCACAGTCCGAGTCCCTCGTCTGCCCTGGTTCGTCGTGTCTATACTCCTTCTATCGAAAAGCTTATTTAAGGCCCTATCTGGATCAGGAAGTAGAGCCCACTGGAGCCACATGCGATAACACCGAGCAGAGGGCTGCGAACCCTTCGATGCCCGCAGACCGTGCTCCTATGGGAGGACTTCCAGGCACAGATGCTGGTGACGTGCCACCGTCAGATATGCAGAAAGATATCGCTGTTTGGAAAGGTTCGTTGCGAAGAATCCTCTTTGCGCATATGCACTAAATGCCTTATTAGCCTCTAAAAGCTCCGTAGCCTCTGTGGATCAGACGGCGGATGTCTCGCAGCTGCGCTGGGTCGGAACGGAGTTCATTTATTTCCTCAACATTCCTCATGACTATGTGCTGGCCAGCACACTTCCCGGGCCCGCGAGAGCAGGCCTTATGCCAGGAACTGAGGCTACGCTGACCGAGAACATCAATACCCTCCTCGAGACGCCGGTGCACTCTATCGTCAACAGTCTTCTGGAGGAGATAATGGATATGCGGATACCGAAAGGCATTCTACTCTCTTGCGACCAGCGGGTCGTCTCTGCCGATCAACTCTCTCGACTTATTGTTCCTTGGGCTCGCAATCTCTCGCAAAGCGATGTTCATTCCGAGCCTCTGCACTCGCAGCGGGGCCAGTACTGCATGCGTCTCCTGAAGAGTTTAACGACCGCAATCGACGACGCCATCTACTCGAGGACAGGCTCGTTAATAGATGAAGGCCCCGAGTCGAACGTGCTATGTGCTATTGCAATCATGATCACATCCTTGGAGCGATGCGTACAAGCTATTTGGCGTGTCGAGAAGTCAGAGATCGTGGACCGAACCAGGATGTTTGGCGAGGTGACCCAGATAATCCGGCATAACCTCAACCGCCGCTGGAACATAGGCGCTTTTCTCGAAGCGGAACGCTTGTTCAGCGCCGGGATACAGTTCGCTGCCTACGCTCTTGAATGCGGACCCACTGCTTCCAACACCGCTTCCGTCGACCCCGACAACTACACGGCGAAGCATGTCATGTCATCCTGCGAATGCGATCACATTGTTCCCCCTTTTCCCGCGATCCGCGAGCGTCTCGAAAGAAACGAGATACCCGTCCTCTCTTATGACGGCAATAGCCTCCAAGTCCGCAGTTCGCACGAAAGTCCCTACATCTCCATATCTCATGTCTGGTCAGACGGTCTTGGGAGCACCTCGGAGAAGGGGCTTCCGACATGCCAGATCGAAAGACTGACCCGTCTCGCTCGTGGTCTTGGAATCGTCGACGGCGTATTCTGGCAGGATGGCATGTGCATACCAGAAGAACGGGAGCTACGTGACCGCGCCATTGCTCTCATGGCGAAGACTTACGCAGAGGCGGACAAGGTACTCGTCCTCGATGAAGGGCTTCGCTCTGCGTGCCACCTTTCGTCTCCGCCGGAGGAATGCTTGTTACGTCTTTCTACGTCGGGTTGGACGCAGCGCATCTGGACGCTCCAGGAGGGTATGCTAGCGCGCGAGCTTTACTTCGAGCTCTCGGATGGCATTATTGACTGTTCACACTTTGACGGCCCCGCCTTCACTATCGCCCAGAAACTCATTCCCATGTTCGACCATCGACGTGCCGATGTTTCGGTCCCATCAGACTCGCCTCCTCCAATGTCATACAAACGGCGTGTGGTAAATCCTCCGCGATGCAGCGTCAACGACCTCATCCCTCTTCTGCGGTATCGCGTCACCAGCAAACCTCGGGATGAGCCTGTCGCGATTGCGGGCTTGCTCGGGCTGTCAGCCGAAAAACTTATCCCCCACAAGTCGCCAGAAGAGCGATTGAGAGCGCTTCTCATCGAGGTCAAAACTGTTCCGCGTCAATTGGCTGTGATGGGCTGGATGGAGCCCAGATTGTCTCTACCAAACTTTAGCTGGGCCCCAAAGAGCCTCAGCCATGTGCTCTGGCCGGGGGACAGCGAATCGGAGAGATACCAGACTATATGCACGGCCGATGGTCTATTCGGCGACTACACAATCGTTCGCTTCTCGCGGGAGATCGTTGCGCAGGAGCCTATAGGTGTTCTCGTGATCCTCGAACAACCGCATGGCTCGAATTCCGCTCCGAAGATTTTTAATCTCGTATTCTCCCCTCCTTTTGTTCGGCAAGTCTACTACCGCCAAAACGGTTGTTTTAAAGTTGGGGGTTTCGTAATGAAGGATGAAAGAGTTCCGGAGTCAATGCGGGAGGAGCCTGTTGGTGCGGTATTCTTTCCGGACGACAGCCCTGGACTTCCTCATCCAGATGGCCAGTACCCGACGACAACCGTGAAATTCGTGGCGCCCGCCAGCTTCCGCTTCGGCCTTCCTGACACAGTGGAAACGGCCCGCACGCGTCCCTACTGGATCATTGTACACGCAACCGTGGAATCAATGGCGAAAGTCAGGCTAACGTGAAATCATCGCGACGACGGACGGACTCCTGACGAGACCACACCAAGCGGCCCGTATTCACCGATCCTGACTTAAGCTCCTCTTTCCCCCAAGATTTCACCATATGCAGATCTTACAAATCGTCGTCGATTTCTCCATAGCTTCCCGAGTGCCCATGGTCGCGGCCGTTGTTGCAGACCTCACCTCGTGGCATATTGAATCCTCGACCGCCGAACTCGGCTCGTATATATGGACTATCGCCGCCACAGCGCGCAGAGTCGGCCTCCAAGGGGATCGTGCAGGACAAACCCCGCCCTCTGTCTCCTACTGAAGACAAGATGTGAGCCATTGCACGAGCCGCACTTATCCAACCTCACGCTGCTGGCGCACCCGGAACATCTTCAGTCTTAACGTTTCTATATCACCTCTCTTTCCTTAAGCTTCATCCGTTCTGCTTGTCTCTTTTTTATACATCCCCTTTTCATCTTCCACGGCGTCCTCTCTGGTTGCTCTTCTCAGTAGCTCAGGCTGGTTCTACGATATCCTGAACTTATGTAAGCGCTAGTAGCATTATCATGTTTGGTTGATCGCCGCCCAGGACGGCAAGTGCTGTAGTTCGTCAGCGTCGCATCATGATGTGAGATCTGCACACAGTGCAGCTATGATTAGGTATTAGTATGGTACTGACTACAGGTATGTATGAAGCAAGTCATCAAAGCACTACATTGACAATTACAGAGTCCAAGCAGAATCCAAGTGAGATGAGAACGGTGCGAGTACAACATGAAGGAGACAGGGCAGATGAGCCAGACGACGAGTGCAACTACATATATCATAAAATTAAGCTTAATCGTGAAAGCGGCCGGCATGCCCATACCAAGCGTAAAAGATGTCATCACCGTGCCCTGAGGTTCCTCAGCTGTCTCTGCACCTCGCCGATATCACTCCTGTTCCACTCTCCCACCCATGTGCCGTTTCTGTCGGCAGTGACCCACACCTCGGAAGAGCGCTTTGGAGGGGGTGTGGCGGTGACAGAGGGAGCCTGCTCGGCGTGCAGAGACGCGAAGACCATCTCGGGTGGGATGTTCTCGCCAAGTGTGCGCTTGAGCTTCGCCATGCGCCTGCGGCGGACCTCGGCGTCTGAGGGCAGCTGAGGCCCGTCAGAGCAGGTAGGTGTGATCGGGACGGCGCCAGCGCATGACGACAGCGGGACGCGAGTGTCGACGTGGGAGACGGGGACAGTGTTGATACGGAGCACGAGCGGACGCGGGCCCTCCGCAGAACGACGTCCTTTCAAGGATTTCGGCGTAGGGCATACGTCCAGACTGGGACGAGACTCTTGCATCAAGGAAAGGAGGGAGGAGTTGGATGACGACGTGGAGTACGTGGACTCCTTGCGTGAAACGAGTTCTGAAAATGACGCTATCTCGGGGAAGAGTGTGAAGACAGATGCATGGCGACGTGCTGCCTTCGTTTTCTTGCTTGTCGTCTGCGTCTGGAGAGGGCACTCGTCCGCTTCTGCGAAGCGAGGAGTGGTACCGAGCACTGCGCCGAGCTTGCGCGTGGAACGTATGAGGCGCGCACGCTGGCAGTGGTCGAGAGTGTTGCAAGTGTGCGGGGGCATGTCGTACGTGTCGTACCGTCCAGACATGATAATGGCAGGATCGGTGGTATGAGATCGTAGATGGCTGTGCAATTAAAGACGAGTGCGTCGCGTAGTATGATACTGAGAGTCGAACTGGTGGTCGGTGCACTGTGCTCTAGAGGTGGCAGGTAGTGTAGGGTAGATGAGAGAAAGGACAGAGGTGCCGTGCTGAAAACTGCAGGTCGGATGCTGGAGTCCACGTTTCGAAGGTGGCTCCGGCATGCTTTAACAGGGGATGAAACAATAGGGGTAAGGCGGGGGCGTGGCAGAGGCGATGGCCGGGACCCAAGCAGGGTCGACCTGGTCGCTGCTACGGTCTGACAACACGCTTGACAATTTTTTGACACACCTTATTGACCGCTTATGCGTTGCATTGTCAGACTCGGTCGAGAGCACAAGACAATAGTCTAAACAGGCGTGGGAAAGCTGCCAACGCCACGCTCTGAAATAGACGCGCATTGAAAGCGCTTATTACGTCAGCGCAGCGACCATGACCGCGACACAGCACAAATAATTTATCATCGTGTAGTATCCTACACACTACTCGCGTAACATGTCATAAATCCCATCATGCTCGGGCGTAAGACCTGCAAACCCCGATTACACAGCTTCGCAGTATTCTAGCAGGCGGAGAGAGCGAATGGCAACAGCGGAACGAGGAATGCAAGTGCCAACATGATGTAAGAGGAGTTGCGTGTGGCATCGTTCTTGCGGGGCGCCGGACAAGATGCGGTTGATTTTGCAGACGCGGTACTTTGGGTTCCGTTAGAGGTGGCACTCACGAAAATGCTAGATGGCGTGGGAGTGCCTGCCGTAGGCCCAGCAAAGGCGAAGGCCCCTCCATTACCACCAGTCTGGGGGCCGCTGTCCGGGACCTGCGGCAAATCGACAACGTGTCAGATGGGAGACCTCTGCGGACGGACACACATTACTCACCGGTTGCTCGTTGCTGCCAATGGCTTTCGCAGCAGCCACGAACGCAGCGTTAGTCTGGTTGCCACTCGTTGGTGCATTGATGGATCTGTTTATAATTTAGTTTAAACATCTGGAAAATGCGGATATCACGCTAACCCAACCATTCCGGCCCCACAGTCACCAGATGCCTTCGAGAAGAAGTACACCGCTGGCGTAAAGGTCAGTCGACTCGCCGCAGATATACCACGACACTTACGAATGTTCATGTTCTTGACAAAGACAGAGAACGATGTCCCGTTTGCCGTCAGGCCTGAGTCAAAGCCACCGGCAAGTGGCGAACAGGGATTATCGAAACTAGACTCCGTGACCGAGGCCGAGACATTTCTGCTAGTATATTAGATTGGCGACCTGTCCGAGCTCCTTCGTACTCACTGCGAGAAGGCAAAGCCGATTACGCTGCTGTTGCTCACTTGAATGTCCGATGGATCAAAAGTCAGAGTTCCGTTCGCGTTGACTTGGACCTAACATCCAGAATGCTCGTCAACCTTAATGCCTAGACCCGGTGGAAAACAGTCCTACGACGATCTGCGACACGCCTGTGCCCGTGGCGGTCCCCAGAGTCCCCTGCACGGCCGCACCATTCGCGTCCAGCTGACCGTTGGGACCTCCGTTGCTTCCGTTCGCTGACCTGCCAATGACGGCCACTCCTCCGTTCGCTCCAAATGAGTTTCCTCCGCTTCCGCCGCTACCCCCGCTCCCGCCGACTGCATTGCCGCCGCTCGCGGACTGTCTGGAGAAGAGCCTGCTGCCGCCTTGTGAGCCCCCGGGGTGGGCAATCGCCAGGGGAAGTAGCGCAAAGAGTGCTACCACGTTGAAGAAGTGGGGGGTCATGATTATGTCTTGTGTTCTCTTCGGATCTCGTTCCTTATAACCGAACGTCTCAACGCGTTAAGGTCTCGCTTGGCTCGCGATTACCGAGACCTCTGATGAGGAGCACCTCCCCTAACACGGCCTTCGGATGGCAGTTCGGTAGTGAAACCCCCTTGCGTCGAGAAGATGCTATCCAAGGACCAAAACCGTCTGGGATGTCTTTGATCTGCGTCGGTACACCAGACATGGGGCCAGACTTTCGGAACCTGAAAGATGTGACAAAGAAGGCTGGCACTATGGGCCTAAAGGGGGAGTTCGCTCGTTTCCACAGGGCGGCGCTCCATTTCTTCCTCCGTCACTTATCTTTTGAATGTCTGGTATAAACGAGTACCGTAGCATCTGGAGTGCAAGTAGAAAAAATATGAAAAATTTTAGATGAGAGTAGTGCGCTGTCTGAGAGCTTCCGCTAGATAGTGACAAAAGTAGGGGTGTTCGCACTTGTGTCACACATCAGTCACGTCGGCCGTCGCTCGGCAGTGAGCTCAGCTGTAGGCTCCGTGCAGACTGATCAGCGGAGTGAGAAACAGACGCCTGTCGGATGCTAATTGTCACGCTTTTGCGCGATTTGGCCAGTCGAACGTCTTCCTCCCCAAGGATACGCTATCCGGCGCATGTAATAGATGTATATAAGAATATATATATATATACCTCTCATGTACCCCGTCGCGGATTCAATCTGTCAGTGGGCATAGATCTCATTGCATCACTCAAGCGAAGGGCCTCGTTTACTCACCTCGTTATCCTTGAGCTTCCCCCGTTTTGTGACATATTATTTTGGATATTGTGTACTTTTGGTACACATATGCCGCATCTTTAATCTCAGAATTTTCTGAGGGCGGGAATGTGGAGCCACAGGGAGTTCTTACTTTTCAAAAAGTGCGAACTCCCCCTTCCAGTAGGATAGTATGCCAGACTCATGATCGTAAGCATAACGAGATCAGTTTAGAGTCACCTCTGGGCTCTCAGGCTCTCGAACATCTGCCATTATCTTGCACTCATTTGGACGTCAGAAACAACATGTCTGAGGGTCTTTTGCAGTGGCAACATCTTGAGGATGATAAGGACCACAAAAGCCGTCATGATCGTAGGCGACTGTCTATAAAGCGACCGAGCAGTCTGGCAAGACCGTCGGGGTTCGAAATGACACTCCCGAATTCCAAGTTTATGCGAGACACACCCGAGATCCGCAAAGGTGTATAAGATGATCTGCTCGGTGTATCTCATTACTCCACATGCTTGTGTACGATCGAACGACGAGGGCACATAATGCGTCCTCTGCCTGCGTCTTCGGCGTGGGTCCTTATGTCAAAACTGGTAGAAGATTGGGTATGTGTTTGTATAGCGGTAAGAACAAGCTATCCGTCGCGATAAGACGCAGGGATGAAATAATTAGGATAGACGTTAGCGTGACAAACATACAAAATCGTGTCTGGCACTTGCGGTAGCAAGAAGTCCATCGGGAAATACTACGAAGGAACTAGGTATACCCCTTACTCTAGAGGGCGAAAGCGAAGAGACCAGCGACAACACTAAGAAGGCCAAGGGTGCTGCTAGCGCCATGCTGGACGGCGGCGCCTGGGGTGGTGCTGGCGCTGGCGCTGGCAGACGTGCCGGAGCCTGCCGACGTTGCCGAAGCACCGGAAACGCTCGGTGTACCTGTAGTAGGACCAGCAGAGGCGGCAATGCCTACACCACCAGTCTGTAGACCAGTGGCTGAGACCTGCAAGGCGAATGGTTAGCCTTCGTATGTTGTCTTGGTGGGGGAGAATGCCTGACCGTTGATTCACCGCCACCAATAGCCTGGGCGGCGGCGACAAGGGCGGAAGTGCTGTTAGTGCCGCTAGCAGCGGCGTTGATGGTGCTACAATATCCATGAGTGGCCGATCAGACTGCCTCACATGCGGAGATCACGTACCCGACCATGCCGAGACCACAGTGCGTGGGGACAATGCACATGAAGGAGATGGCTGAGAAAGACCATTTGAGAGATGTAACTGGCGCAATACTGGAGAGACCACTCACGATCCGTAGTCGTGACGTTGACAGAGAAAGAGTTACCAGCATTGACTATACCAGAGCTGAACCCTCCCTCTAGTGGGGAGCAGGGGTTGGCGAAGCTTGTTTGGGTGACAGAATGGCCTATGGAGCTAAAATACCGTGAATAACGGTGCACCATTGGGGTAGGGGGCAAACATACCTGCCGAATACGAATGTGACGATCGTTCCGATTGAAGCATTGACATTGTTTGGCGTGTACGAGAATCCGTCCGCAGCGACTTGCACCTGCGGTCATGGTATGAGTATGCAGCGTTCGTTGCACCTAGATACGATAACACTTACCAGAACCTGGCCGGAGGAAGCATCAGCGTTCCCAGTCGCAGCGCTTGCTGCAGCAGATGTCGAGGACGTCGAGGACGTCGTGGCAGGGGCGGGGGGAGCACCGTACGCCTGACCCAAGACAACGGGAATCAACGAGAAAGCGGCAAGGGCGAGCTTGTACATGGCGTGTCTTTTTGAGTTTCACGCTCGAGCGGATGGTCCTGGATTTTCTCGAGGGAGATGGCAGGGTGAGGGCCCTGCCTTGTCGACTCACCTTTTTATCGTGCCAGCGAGCGTCACGCATGGCGACCGCAAGGAACAAAGCGCAGCAGCTGTCCGTTAGGCTGGTGTCCAGTGGCGTACATCAGCATGGACCGCAGCTGCGGTATTGGCAACTGGATCGCGTGAAGACATATTTTACACGCCTGAAACGTACACCCGGACGCACCATAACTGATACGCCGCTCGATATCGGCGCCAGCATCTCGGAATGCTGCCAAGCACAACAGCCGGTACGTCGACTTTCCCACCCATATTGACGGGAGATTGTTTAGCTGTGCAGACGCAGCATGAATGAGCACGAAGACCGATTGTCTCTCAGCATCTTCCCCAGGACCGGCTGTATGCCAGATAGTCCTGGTCACTGAGTATCGCTTGGTGCGATCTAAAACAAAAAAAAAATCAAACACCGTCAGTTGCAAACAGCGCAAAATTAGCGCACCTGGCTGGACCGCGGACGATTGACAGGTCAGGGAATTTGATCAGGATGCCGACGGCACATTGCGGCTGATTTTCTTCTCCGACAAACCCCGCATCTTCGACTCCTCGACATCAGAACAGAGCGGGACTCCGTGTCCCCATTTGGCAGGGAGTTCTCATAGCCACCGCCAGCGAATCACGAACGGTTTCACTCGACGGGTATAGACAAGCATGATTATGTCCGAGTAAAAAAATCTACATGAGACTTCGAAGCGATGGTAGGAATCCGTCTACGCCCTGACGTGCGGGGATGTGCAGGCTGCGCCCTGGAAATGTCTAGAGGGCAACGGCGAAGACGCCAGCAACAACACCAAGTACTGCCAAGACGCTGCTGAAAGCCAGTGACGAAGCACCTGAGGAAGATCCTGTCGAGGAAGAGCCACTGGTGGGGGAAGAGCCCGCGACGGAGGGAGTGCCACTTGTGGGGCCAGCAGTCGCGACCGCGCCGACACCGCCAGTCTGGGGGCCGTTGTCGGTAATCTGCGAGTGATCGCATTAGTGCGGGTGCGTTAGTTGGATGGATTAGAACTCACGGTCTGCTCGCTGGCGCCGATGGCAGAAGCAGCAGCCAAAAAGGCAGAGTTGGAGCCGTTGCCACTTGATGGCGCGTTGATGGTGCCAGCCATACCAAGACCACAATGTGTCGGGAACTTACAGGCGAAGTAAACGGCTGAACGACTAAGTCAGCAGGACGGCTGGTGCGCGGTATACCCGAACTTACGGGTGCTAGCATCAGTAACATTGACAGAGAAGGTGGTATCCATGGTTAAGCCAGAGTCGAAGCCACCCGACATAGGCGTGCATGGGTCAGCAAACGACATCTGGGTGACAGAATGCTGGATTGACCTGCAAAGGGCGTAAAAATCAGGATCCTTCAGAGCAGAAACTTAAATACATACGCCTGGAAGCTGAAGGTGACAAGGGTGCCAACCGGAGCCTGGATATCCGAAGGTGTGTAGCTGATGCCACCGTTCGCGCCGACTTGGACCTTTGCACGTACGTAGTAAGTATTGAGTCAATGAAACGAATAAAATAACCATACTCACAATAATCTCATTCGAGTTCGCCGCCGCAGATGATGCGGCGCTGGATACCGAGGAGGTGGTGGGGGTGGCAGGGCCTGGAGGTGGCCCGTAGAGCTGCGGGGAGGCGAGAGCCAAAGGGAAAAGAGCGAGGGCGAGGGCGGCCTTGAACATCGCTGCGAGCGTCGGGTCGTAGACTGAGATGGTGAGAGTGTGCTTCTTGTCTTGCCACTTGAATTCGCTTCACGATCTTATACTCGACCGTAGGAACGAGCGTCCGAGCTGGTGAGAAGTATTGTCTCCTGCAAGAAAAGAAGTGTCCCACAAGACCAGCACTTCCGTCTGTCAATCCATAGCTGCGCAAAGCTGGGAACAAGCAACAATCTCAGATCTCTGCTTGACTGGAAGGGAGTGTTGTGAGCGTAAACGTATGACTGCGGGAACTATCTCACATACCTGGCGGATTTGTTCACAGCATGGTCACCGGATTTGAAGTGCTGGTAGCCACGCCTGCAAGAAGTAAAATCGGATGGGAAGACTCAATTTCACGATGCTATGCGTGCACCACTGTACTCACAGGCATGAGAACTTACGCGCCGTTCTAGCGTGTCTGACGACCTTCCTGAGCTGCGATCCATCAAGAAAAGCAGCTGGCGTGCGTAGAGGCTGGTACGAGCATGCTGGTGACAGCTACAATAATGAGCAGAGCATAGTTGTGTGAGGCCCTTGGTGATGCTAGAATTACCGGTGCGTTGTCCTGCCCGACGATGAGATAGTTCCGCCGCTTTTGGGCCGTTTCAATACGCTCACATAAGTACGCGCTTCGTTCGCTCATTCTCTGTTGTTCGTCCGCATCTTCAGTATGAGCTTGAACTTCTAGCAACCAGAGCTCGTTCCTGCTCTGTCCGACATTACGAGCGATTTACCGCCCACCGCGGGTTTACAGATGTGCAGTGCCACCACGGGGAATCAGGCACCTGGCCGAGGCACTCTGAGGTTCAAGCGGAGATTGAACAGCACACGGCCGCAGCAGCCGGAAATGGCAGTGCGAGATAGCCTTCGGCGCTTCTTCGATCAGCGGATGCTGTTGTCTCTCCTCGAACATTCCCATGGCGCATCGCCCGTGGGTGACTGACCTGAGAGTCTCATGCCTGATGCGGCTCAACGTCTTCGCCTATTCCTATCGCGACCCTTCCGCAGCATCCACTCCACGTTCGTAAATTGGTCCACAAGGTAGCAGTAAGCACGCAACGATGATCATTGGGCCTTCGAGGCGGAACACCCTGGCTGACTAGGCCATCTAGATGACCCCGTGAACATCAAATGACCGACTCTCCAGAGGAGAATAACTGCCTCGATCGATGCTGCGCAAACTCGATCGCAAAATGGTCGCACACCTGCCGGTCGCAGCTGCGCAGCCCGCGCGGTATCAGCTCATGCATCAAGCGTGTCCCGCTGTTTTCCCAACCTATCGCGGGTATCCGATGCGCGCGGTGAGAAATGTGGTCTACAGACGGTGGTTACGGGGGTGTACGCACTAGTGTGAGAAGAATCGTAACGAATACCGGCTGAAGGGCAGTGATGACCATTAGATGAATATCTCAGTCAGCATCCGGGTATGTCGCAGCCTTGAGAGCTTGAGAATTCATAGCGTTAACGCTAGGAGAGCTGTAGATGGCTGTAGATGGCCGTAGATGCCTTCCAATTTCACATGACAAGATCGGGAAATGCTCATGTCGTCCCGCTCCGTTTTCCCAACGTACGTTTCCCTTGACTCAGACAGCTTCAGCCTTCTCGAAATAATGCTATGCAACCGGGGCAGGCTGCCAGCGATTGCTGAACGTTGAACATCCGTGTTACGATATTTTTCTTCAAGTTTCGCATGTCAGACAAGACCGCAGGTCGCAGGCCTATCATTGGTATTTGGACTACGCGCCAAAGTACAACGACGGCGATGACGGCGATGACGACGCTGACGTTGGTCTCTGTGTACGATCAACGGCTCGTCAGAGAGCTCGATCATAGCCGCGACGTCCATTTGCGACTATAAATTCACGACAACTTTGCAATTCTTCCTCAGAACACTCTTGCCTTCGTACATTCACAATCTCAAACAGTGCCAAATCTCTCATACTCACCCGATTTTACCACAACCATGGTCCTGGTCTTGAAGCAGTCGCTCGCGCTGCTCGTGCCCGCGATATACACTTCAGACGCTTCGCGAACCCCGTCCTCGGGTCATCGTGGTGGCAACGCACACCCCTCGCGTTCGTCCTCGGACATGGACGTTCACTCGTCCATCGTCAGACGATCCTCCCATGCACGCGGCAAACCCTGCCAATCTGGACCGTCTGCCAAGGGCAAACGTGTCCACGACGCAAAGTGTGGACGCTCGCTCCAGCGAGCGCCGTCATACAGTCATCGCCAGTGCGATCGTCACGTCGCGGTGACAGAGTCGCATCTCTGCCCGCCCGCCCGCCGCATGTGCTCTGGGCTGCCCGTGCCCCCAAGGAACTATCGCCTCTCGCCCCCTCGCATGACCCTGCCACGCGTCACCGAATGCTCGACGATGTCAGAGGTCAGCCTGCTGTCGAACACTGGGGACTTCGCTTCAGAAGAAGGGGTACTCCGGGACGTTTCGCCTACGCGCCCGTCCCTGCGCCGCAGAGAGTCATCCGTGGCCCAGCTCCGCGAGGTTCTCTTCGCGCCTCAGCTTACATGCGTCGCGAAGTTCTCCTCGGATCATTTGTATCTCTAGCGCATGCTGTCTTTTGAATCAAACCAGTGGTTTGTCCCAATTGCCCTGTGAGAAAACCCGCGAACTGCAGCATAAGAAGCAGCAATAGTCAATACAGGTGGTAACCGGTGTACTAGCTCGCCGGTGCTTCTGCAATGTCTTGCACAGGCCTCTCCCCGCCACTTCTCATTCCATGCGCCGCAAAGCTTACCGTCCTGACACTCAAAGTCCGCAAGTTGACCAGCACGACGGTTCCGGAATGCTTGAACTGCGGCACGAGCACGATCCTGCAGCGTCCTTCGCTCTCCTCCGTCGCCCTGACCATCTTGGTGCCGAACTCCGGCTGGTTCCCCACGATGTACAAATCCGGCGTCTCCGTGAGTATGAACGGGTCGGTCGTAAAGTACGGGTGGCACCAGAGCGTGTCGGGCGCCGTCGGCGCGATGTGGCGCCAGCGAAGCGTTGCCTCTGCGATAGAGAGTCGCGTCGCGGGCGGCGAAGGCAGGTACTTGAACATGTCGTCCAGCGGCTGGCCCGAGTGCGCTAGGATCGTGCGCGATGGCGTCGATGATCTGCCCGATTTTGGCTTCGATGTTGAGGCTCTGCCGTTGGACTTGGTGTTGGACGAGGACGTGTCTTCGAATGCGCCGACATGGATGTACGTGGGGTTCGTCTCGCATGAGAAGGATGCGTAAGACGCAGCGGCGCCGAACATGGCGCGCGGAAGGGATTGTTGAGGAATAATCGTCCCCGAAGGATCTGCGGCGCCAGGGAGGAGGTGAATGGGCACGCTGTGCGCAATATCAGTCAGGTGCGTTGAGAGCACCCGTAGGGGATGCGTTGAGAACGTAGGCACCTCTTGTCCACGCCGCTGCCGAGGATTTCAGTCAGATACGCCCGTTTGACTAGGGCATGAGATCACTGACCGGTTTCTTTTCTGGCTCTTGTGTCTCCACCACAACAGGTGCGAGCGAGTTGCCAGCGATGATGAGACGCGATATCCGTGCCGCGCCAGATTGTTCGTCTGATCCGCATGCCTCTCCGGTCAGGTATTCTGACAGCATCTGGAGCTGCGCGTCCGGTGGGTCGAGGGCCCCAACGTCGAGCCCAGAAACGACCGCAATCCATTCGTCTGAATTTGATTCTCCTGATCTCGAGAGGTCAAGATGAGTACATCGAAGGTCAGAATTATGACAACAATCTTACGATCGTTATCCGCCTCCTTATGTTGTGGAGGCATCTCCGCAAAGCAGAAGTCTACAACCTCGAAGTCGCCGTTCGCAGTCTCCAGGCCGAGCGCACCCATGATGACGCCAGTGACTACCCGCGCAGACTTGAGCCGCTCGCCGACGAGGCGAATGCGGCCCGACTCGTCTTCGAGCATGACGCTGTCTTTTTCGGAGCAGTACTTTTGTTGCGGCGGCGGTGCAGGTATCGAATGCTGTGGTGATTAATCGTGTTACTTGCGGTAGCCGGGCGCAGAATAGCAGGTACATACATCTCGAGCAACGTCATCAAGGACGTTCGGCTTCAAGGGCATGTCCATGTACACCGTGCCAACAACATAGCACAGCTGCCCAGTTTGCACCTCCAGAACCCTGGGTACAAACACAGGATCACCTGAACAAGCCGCTGAGCCAACAAATTCGGGATGTTGAATGAAACGGACTATGTACCCGCGGCTTCTTTCCACAACCGCTTCGCGTTCTCTTCGACAAAACCGCGGAGCAGTCGTAGCCGCACAAAGTAAATGTTTGCATACTGGTGCTTGTATGATTTGTTTGCGGAGTTGATGGCGAACGATGGCGTCTTCTCTGTCGGAGGCAGCACTGAAGTCGCTGCGCGTACAAGGGGTGTGTCTGGAACAGGTCTACAAAAAGTCAGTAAATTGTTTCAGCGTATATGCAAGCTTTGATTATCTGTACAGCGGAGATTCTGGCATTTTTGGAGCCTGGTGGCTGCAAGCAGGCCAGTCTGGAACGGGCGTGGCAAAAGTCGAGAACAAGACGCGAGCTAATTTGAACGCCAGCACGACGCGTCGCGTTTGTGACTGTCACTGTCACCTGCGTGGGCATGATGGAAGTGACGCGTCCTGCGGCTTTTCCTCGCGCCCTCAACATTCAGAACATTGGACACGCAGTGCAAGATTCAAACACATGGTTATAATTGATATAATTCTACAGGCTTCCTTTTTACACCATCTCTGTTCACAAATCGTACAAGCTTCGTCACGGCACTCCTCCCGCGGATATAAGCTAGTGATCGTCGCCCCAAGCCACCACAGTCTAACACGTCCTGGCATAGGTACCGTTGGACTTGCTTCCGTGGCCGTCGGGGAGTTTGCCGTGGTGCGCCTCAGTCGAGTGTTTATTCCCGAGTGCGGCCAACGCGTGCACAGGCGAGTCTGTCTGCGCGAGTTGGTCGGCGACCTCCACAAGGTCTCCGACGAGGCCGTCGATCATGTCGGCCGTGACGCTCTCGCGCACGACAACGCGGAGGATCTCGATGTTCTCCAGGTCGGGGGCGAGCTCGTAGTTCGGAACGATCCAGCCCTTGGCGCGCAGGAGGGTCTGCACCCATTTCTGCTTCACGTCGGGATTTTGGGCGCGGTATTCTTCAGAGAAGCGGAAAGCGACGACCGAAAGACCGGGTATGTAATTCTGTCGGTTTGTTAGCAGTGCCTTTGACGTGTCGATTTGAGAAATAGTACGCACGTCGATGTTCTCCTCGTCGAACGAGACGGCACCTTTAATGCTAGCCGCCAAGCCCTCAACCGGGCGGTGGATGTCGCTCAAAACCTCAAACAGGCCACTGTTCTCCAACGCTCGGCTGAGCAGACGAGCGTTCTTCATGTCGTCGAGCGTGATCGCCTTGTAACCCTCGAACCCGAGATGCAAGAAGTTGAAGTATTGCGCGATAATCGGGTGCGCCGGACGCGAGAAGTTGAGCGAGAACGAATACTCGACCGATCCCAGGTAGTGCAGCTCGAAGATGAGGTCCTTCGGCAGAAAGTCCTTGCCCCTCCAGACAACCCAGCCGACACCGACGTATGCCAGTCCGAACTTGTGCCCGGAAGTGTTAATGGAGACGACACGCGGAAGGCGAAAGTCCCACAGGAGCTTCGGGTTGGCGAAAGGCGCAACGAAAGCGCCGGAGGCACCATCAACATGGATGGGGACGGAATGGCCAGTTCTAGCTTCGTACTCGTCGAGAAGATCAGACATCGCCTTCACAGGCTCGTAGTGACCAGTGTAAGTGCCTATAAATGCCTTGTCGTCAATAACGTACGCAAGCGGTGATAGGGGAACGAGCCGTACTTCCAAGGATGACGTAGACACCAATAGTGTTCTCGTCGACATACTCCATCGCCTTCTTGGGATCGAGGCAGTAGCTGCTCTCCTTGGAAATGGGCACAAGCCTGCACTCGACCTCGAAGTATCTCGCGAACTTCTCGAGTGCGACCTGGGCGTTGGCACCCATGACGATGTTCGGACCGGGCTCGTGGATGGACTTGCCCGCCGCCTTGCGCTTCTCTTGCCAGATGCGCTTCATCGCAAGGCCACCAAGTTGTATAGCCTCAGAGGAGCCGGTCGTCGCGGTACCGATCGCGTTATGCGAGTCAGGGGCGTTCCAAAGGCTGGCAAGGATGGAGATGCAGCGCGTGTGGATCTTTTCTGCATACTCACAAGTGGTCAAAATGCTGAAAGGAAAGGCAGAAGCGGAATATGTGCGCACGAGTCATGGGGTATTCGTCCTGGTCGATCAAGTTCTTCGATATGTTCTCCATCATGAGCTTGTTGGCCTCCTCAGGCATCCAGGTGTGGACGAAGGATGCGAGGTTCAAGCCAGGCGAGCCGTCGAGCGTGAGCTCATCATGGATGAGCTGGTACGCGGCCTTCGCGTCGGATCCCTTGAAGCGGCGTGTCAGGAGTGTTTGCGACTGGCGCAACAGCTGAGGGTCGACGCACCTTGCGGGGTAAACTGAACTTGGGAACAGTCTCAGTGCCGTAGCGAGCCCCGTATGGGCTTACTAAATGGTGCCCATTCGAGCTGTGGAGATGGTTCCTGTGTCCATGCACAGCATGGTTATCCTGTCGACTGCATAAGCCCCCTATACGCTCGCCGGCCATCGCTCCCAGCGCACCTTTGACTGCTGGATGAGAACATCAGGATCAATACCCTACATCGCTGCAAGTCAGCATCGACGCGCGTGTTCTCCACAGGGGGCGAGACAGACCTTGGAGAGGACCATATCGCACTACGTTGGCCTGGAGAGGAGAGGGAAGGGGATTTTGAAGGCCGTCTTTGACCTGGGCGGCATGTTTTATAGGACATGGTAATCTGAAATTGCACACACGGTGGTTCTGACGACATGGTGCGCGTCCAGAAATAGCAGTAAAAAGGTACATCCCATCGCTCCGCAGACGTCATGCACACATCCGCCGTCGCTCTCCGGCAAAACCTCTCTGCCCTGCCCGTGCTCAGACCGTCTTGAGCATCCACGTCTTTGAGAGTCGTGTCCACGGTTCAGCTCTCTGCGCGAAAAGTTGCTCACACTGACTTGTCTTTCGCCACAGTTCACCGCGAGATCGAGGACTAGAATAGCACAAACAAGGTTGTGATGACGCGCGAGGAACAGTACATGGAATTTCGTCGGTGCAACCAATTGCAGCCCCACGGCGACCTCAAGGCCGGCCGCAACCACACGTACACATCAGCTGTTTGAGGGACAATGGCCACCGTTCTTGGAGTCGTTCCTGAGCCGTAGTGTTTAGAGTACACACGTGTAGATGCCCACCGTGCTAACCCAGCCAGAGAAGCTCAGTGGCGCAATAGATAGCGACAGTCGAAGGTGCACAGTTTTCTGGACTGCGAACCGTGGAGTCTGGCTCGATCCACGGTGAGACCTCTGCACAGCAAAATGTCATTTACAAAGATGTCGCAGCTACAGATACGGCATGGGTGGGATGCATGAACGAATGGGATTCATATGGATGATATATTTAAAGATCGCAGCCGTCGTTTATATATGGCCAGTGCCCCATACCTGCGACAGTGCTCCAGCAAACGCAATGGTGAACGCCAATTGTATGAACCCAAAGACGGTGTGGGCATGAAAGACAAAATCTGGAGTCGCCGACTTCTTACTCCAATGCCGTGCGGCGGGACGCAGTCAGTGCCGCATTACTTACTTTATTAACGCAGCCATTTGCGCCGCTATTAGGAACCACAATGGTGTCGTAGTGATTTCCAAGTACCACGGTCAGCCCGCGGGAGGAGTCGCATAAGCGCCTAGCGATGATGGCGCTTCTACCGAGAGCGGCATTACGCGAACTCGGCCAGCCTGGCCCCGTCCACCATCTTCCCTGAACAGCCCGACGGTTGCTCTCTTGCTCTGCTGGTCAGCATACGTCGCGATGGGGGGACCCAACCTCGAGGTTTTCAAGTTCGCTACCTATGTCTTCATACCCATCCTCGTCATGGCACACTTTGGCAACCCCGACTGGTACCAGAAGAATGTGTTGCCGGTGAGTGCACGTACTGTAGGCTGAAGCACCGCGGGCGGGACTGATTGTTGGTTCATAGTATAAGGAGAAGATCTTTCCTCCTGAGGAGAACCTCGTGAGGGTGAGTACATGCTTCCCACACCTGCCCGCTTTGCACGTCGAGCAACGCCTCTGACCACGGGATTCTGCAGAATCTACCCAACGACAAAGTAACCCTCAAGGAAGAGCTGGCGCGTATCAAGGCAGAACGACTCGCAGCCAAGGCTCGGCGAGAGAGCGAGGTGGCGGACGCGACAAAGTCATCGTAACGTTAACTCTATGCACACAGACCCGACATTAAAGATAGGATGGCTTTTCGTACAAAACTCCAGGATATATGGGGAATTCTACATTGTAAGATGCACCCAATGTGTTTTCGGTTCTACTGTTTCAAGATACTCCACCGCTCTCCGTTGCACAAGACCTCCCAGTCTGGTGCCTTGTCTCCTGCCGCGGTTTTGGCATACTCCATGAGCTCCGCGACAGAGACCTTGAAGCCGCCGCACACGATAAAGATCACGTTACGTGGTTCGCCGTTCGGCTTCGGCGGTACAAGCTTGTCGAAGAGTTCTTTGTAGTAGGCGGGCGCGAGAGTCGCCGCGCATGCGAGCTCGGCCATGATCTTGTGTTCGTCTTTCGTGTGGGACGTGAGACTGTGGGTGAAGCAAAAGGCGAACGAGAGCGTGCGCACCTGCGAACCGCACGGCGACCTCCATCGCCATCTCGTCCGAGACACAGACCGACCTGACACCGCCCGCCCTCTCGAGCGCCATCTTCACGACGCCGGGGCTCGGCCACGACGCGCCGAGCGACGTCGCCTTGGACGTGAGCGTCGCGAGGCGCGCGTAGCGGACGTCGTGCGCCGCGTCGTGCAGCGCCTCGGTGCCCGCGCGCGGCGGCAGCGGCGCGCCGGGGAACGCGCTCCCCGCGTTGAGCGCGAGCGACTGGTAGAAGCAGCTCGAGCCGTGCGTCTCGACCGCGACGAGCGGGACGGCGTCCCAGCCGGCGCGCGCGCACCCGAGCATGACGCCGCCTGCGAGCCCGCCGCCGCCGACGCAGCACACGACGGCGTCGGGCCGTGCCACGCCTGCGGGCAGCTGCGCTGCGCACTCGGCGACCATCGACGCGTGGCCGTCCCAGAGCAGCGGCTCGTCGTACGCCGGCACCATCACGCTTTTGTTTTGTGTGTTTCGCGACGTTAGGAGACTGGTTTGCGCGTGTGTGACGGAGCAGGGCAAGAGGGGGACAACTCACGCGTCTTTCGAAGACCGGACGAGCTCGATCGCCGCGTCGAGCGCGTGCTGGTAGCAGCTCCCGCGCTCGACGACCTCCGCGCCCTCCATCTTGAGGAAGTCGAGCGTTGACGCCGACGCGCCCTCGGGCAGGAAGATCGTGCAGCGCAGCCCGAGGGCCTTGCCCGCGCAGGCGGCCGCGAGCCCCGCGTTCCCGCCCGAGGCGGCGACGAGGTGGACGTGCGGGCCGTGCTCTTCGAGGGCCTTCTGGACGAAGCGCGAGATGCCGCGGTACTTGTAGGACTGTGACGGCTGGAGGGCCTGTGATCCCGCCGCCGTGAGCGAAACCTCAGGACGTGCCGGAGGAGAGTCGGATGCAAAAGAAAAACGCACGTCAAGCTTGAGGTAGACGTTCGCCCCGAGCGCATGCGAGATGTGCTTCGAGTACACCAGCGGGGTGTCCAGGTACAGCGGCTTGCTTGTCGCCATCGTGCTGTTGCTTTGCCGTTTCACGCTAGTGGTTGGAGCAGACGCGAGTTGTGTGCGGACGAGCGAGTTGAGGAGTCATGTTGCACGCAGGTCGCGGGCCCGATAGATATCGCGCACCGCGGAGGTCCGTATGTAAGCTACATTAAGCGCCCACGCATTGCTTGGTGAGCGCGATCGCTAAGGCGGTCAGATTGGCGAGCAACCGCTACCCGAGGACGCGCGGGCAGAAGACAGGCATGCACATCGAAGCGTGAAATTCGTAAATTTCGTCTCTAGGCATACGTAACAGCGTCAAATTGTCTATGGGCGATATATCTTGCTTGAGGGAATCCAACGATTAGTACTACTAGTGTGCCGAGTGGCTGATGGGAAGCATTATGTATCCAATGACTAGATGAAGAAAGTCTTCTATGTTTTAGATTTGGGGAAGCGGCCTGTAGTCCGGCGCAAGGCTGGAGATCCTAGGATGCGGCCTTGCTCTGGGTGTGCCCGGCATGCTTTCCCTTTTCTTGCACAGTCTCGAGGGGCGACGGTATCAGCGTGGCGCCGCTCAGCTGGCTGCTAGCAAACTTCGACCTGCTCCGTATCAGCGGCCCGTATTTCTGCAACAAACACATCCGTCAACCCTCATCGCTCCCGGCGCGTCACACACGACCCACTCACATAGAACAAGAACGGCAGCGGCATGCACGCGAGCGAGAGGAACGCGAAGACGGAGGTGGCCCACTGGTCGCCGAGGTGCGCGTACATCGTCGGGCTGATGAGCGGGAAGATGGCGGCCATGACCGAGCGCAGGATGACCGTCGACGCGATCGCGCTCGCGCAGTAGATCGTGTACGCGTCCATGATGTACTGCACGACGCCCTGCATGATCTGCGCGATGCCGCACCCGAACGGGAACCCGCCCAGGATCGGCACGATCCACGGCACCGGCGGGAGGCTCGTCCTGTGGCAGCCCCGTCTGTCGGTTTAACAAGTGGACGGAAAGGAGGGGGAGAGGCGCGCAAGGCTTACCAGGCGAACCAGAAGAGCCCGAGCGGACACATGAGCGCGCCCATCATGGGCATGTACAGCCGTGCCTCTGGCGGCGCCTTGCCCGTCTCGCTCTTGTCCATCGCCCTCCAGTAGAGCCTGTTCTGGTACGGCGCGAGTGACGTCCCGAACACGACGCCTGCGCCGACGCCGAGGAACGCGAGCCCGCCCTCACCAGGCGAGAAGCCGCGCACGTCTTGGAAGACGATCGGGAACGCGGCGAAGAAGGCGTACAGCGTGGCGTAGACGATCGAGACGTACAGCGCGAAGAGCAACACGATCGGCTCTGTGAACAAGAATACTGGCGAAGAGACAGCGGGGGGTCAGCGGGCAGGAGGCTGGAGGCTGCGGCTGGCGGCGTCTCAGAACGGACTCACTGAAAGGTCGCTTCAGGTTCAGCCGGAGCTTCTGCCACAGCAGCATCTTGCGGCCGGTGTCGAAGGTCGAGACGTAGCACTGTCCGCTCGCCGCGCTCAGCTTCCGCGCTCTTCTCCTCAGCAACGCGGGCGCGTACTAAAATTAGGGAGGGGCAGGGTGCGTCAGCGGACGACGGAACAAATGCGGTAGCCTGAGGGCCGAACCGTTTCCGACATGACAAAGTAGCCGAGTACCAGCGAGAGGACGGAGAAGATGAACATGAGCCAGAAGTTGAACCGCCAGCCCAAGCGGGTCTGGACGATCCAGCCGCCGACTATGGGGCCTATGACGGGACCCATGAATGGGGCCGTGGCATAGACTAAACGATCATGTCAGCGGGCCAGTGTGAGGAGCAAGTGTAGATAGCGTACTTGCGGACACCACGCCGCGATCTCGCGGAACCCACATATCAGCGAGAACCCCACTGGCATTTGTTAGTGCTGCAGAAAACTGGGGGTCAGCCTGTAGTCGAACGCGCAAGAGAGATGCGGGCTTGCGTACGCGAGGAACCAAAGATTCCTGCAAGCAAGCGGGTCGAGAGGATTGTCGCGGTGTTGTGACCCAGGGCACCTCCGAGATGGAAGAGAGTATAGATGCTGTAGGTTGACAGGAAGATCATACGCTGTGCTCCACATAGTCCGTCAATGTCGGACGAGACGGACGAGACGGGTCGACACTCACTCTACCGTACAACTTCACAGGGTGGTCAGCATACGTCCAGAGGTTACGAGAGAAGGTGCACTTGCCTCGCTCATCGGTGCGAAGACCAGCGGTCTAGAGCAGACGTTGGTGATCGGTCACGTTGCGCAGAGGACTGAACCTACCCAAGACCGAAGCCAAGCACATAGAGGGACACGCCGAGTATGGCCACTTCTTGGGACATGTGGAGCTCCTTGGCCATTGCGTTGAGACCTCCCGAGTATGAACTGCTACAGAAGGATACAGTCCATGTGCCTATGGCCATCTACAAGGATGTTAACATTGGCGAGACGGTCATTGACGGGAGGAGTTACCTGGAGGGTGATGGCCCACTTGCGCTTGGTCGACCAATTGAAAGGGTTTTCAGGATCACCAACGTCCCAGTAGATGACATACGGATCGTCCGGAGTGCCCGTGCCGGGATACTTGGACGTGACGGCCTGGGAGGCTTGAGGTTCCGACTTGGAGCTGTGCGTGGAACCGGCCTCCTCTTCGTCGCGCACACGAGGAATTACTTGGACAGACATGGCGACCACGGCGGACGAAAGGGTAGACGAATAAATCCCTGAGCAGGTCGCATATAAACGAAGGGCGTAGGACGCTGTAAGCTGTAAGCACTGTGATAAGCGGTGAAGCGTCCGACCCGGGAGGTCTAGTCAGCAGAAGCCGTTCTTTATACTCTTCTGATATGCACCCGCGTGCCGTGCAGAGCAATGCCGACTGGAGACTCGGGCGGCACGCACCATCCGGCACACGTCAAGCCGGTGGCGAGCCTGCTCGACTTGCCGTCGGCCGACAGCCCTTCAGCGCGACTTTCGGCATCCTGCCGTGTTCCAAAATGGGAGCACCAGTCACGTACCCATCCCGGACGGCCTTCACTCGCTGCAAGACGGTTCCAAGTCTCGACAAAACAGCCGCGGTCCCAGTCGCTGCAGGCGAGGAGTGCCACAATGTTGCTGGTGCCTAAATGCGGCAAGAACCTCCTTGGCGGGGTGTCCGAGGGCTTTCACCTCCCAGATCTACGACCCCGCCGACCGCAGCCGACTTGGCGAACCTGGCAAGCTCTCAGCCCCTCGACACTTCCCTAGTGCGAGTCGTCGCCAAGGAACGTGCACAGGACCTCTGCACGGCGATTCTTCGGTCGGCTCGCGGGCCGTCAAGATTCATATATTCATGTCCAAGCCCTTCCGGTATATAACCCACTGAAAGCGTGTAGACACACGCTCTCTACCTCCCGATACGCACTGCAATGCGCTTCAACGACGGCTTCTGGCTCCTCAAAAGTGGCGTAAAGCCCTACTTTGGCCTCCAGGTTGTCCAGGGCACGGCCGACGGAGACGGCTACAACTTCCAGGTATCCACAAAGCCCATTAGACACCGAGGCGATACACTAGGAGGCAAGCATCTCAACAACAGGTCTAGTTAGTTACACTCACCCAGTCCTTTTACAGGGCCTCTTCTCAGCGTTCGCGTGCACTCCCCAACCGAAGCGGTCATCGGCGTCAAGATCAGCCACTTCAAGCACATCCGTCCCACACCCGACATCCCACTCTTCCCAGACGACCCTGCCGTTCCCTCCGTGCAGCTAGGCAAGGGCGAGGCCTCCTGGTCCGTCTCCTCGGGCAGCCTCACCGCCGAGATCACGACAAACCCGTACACCATCACCTTCAAGGACTCGAAGCGCGTCCTGACGTCTGCCGGGTCCAAGCACCAGGCGATCTACGACGTGCCCTACAAGTGGACCCTGCGGAGCGCCTCGAACGCGTCCTGCCTCGAGACAGACTTCAGCTCGAACCCGCGCCCGCCCCCGAAGCCCGAGCTCGTCCGGTACACGCACTCGGAGCTCAACCTGTCCCCCGGCGAGCTCGTCTACGGCCTCGGCGAGCAGTTTGGCCCGTTTGTGAAGAACGGTGCGTTGCGCCGCGAGTGCTTCCCTGTGGCGTCACTCTGACGGCGGCGCGTTGCAGGGCAGTCTGTCAGCGTGTGGAACCAGGACGGTGGAACGTCCAGCGAACAGGCGTACAAATGCGTCCCGTTCTATATCACCAACCGTGGCTATGGCGTTTTCATCAACCACCCGGGCGAAGTCGAGGTCGAGGTCGGCAGCGAAAAGGTCAGCCGGGTCGGCGTGAGTGTTGCTGATGAAAGTCTCGAGTACTTTGTCATATACGGCGCGACACCTTTGGAGGCAAGTTTCGTCAGCCTGACGCCACCATGGAATTCGCTGATGAGTCTCTCTCAGATCATTGAGCGCTATACTCGCATGACTGGTCGGCCTGCGTGAGTGTTTTAGCCATACGAATGGGTACTCTCCAGCTCAGACCTTGTGACAGGCTCTTGCCAGCGTGGACCTTTGGCCTCTGGCTCTCGACCTCCTTCCTGACGTCCTACGACGAAAAAACCGTCTCGTCTTTCCTGCAAGGCATGCAAGACCGAAACTGTCCCGTCCGGGTCTTCCACCTCGACTGCTTCTGGATGAAGCAGTACGAGTGGTGCTCGTTCACGTTCGACCCGGAGAACTTCCCGGATCCCAAAGCTTACCTCTCGGAGATCAAGAGGAAGTACGGGGTGAAGATTTGCGTCTGGAGCAAGTAGCTCATTTAGTCACCAGGAGGGGGTTGACTGAACTTTCGTGACAGTTAACCCGTATATCTCGCAGCTGTCGCCAATCTTCCAGGAGGCTGTCGAGGGTGGCTACCTGATCAAGAGGAAAGACGGCACTCCTTGGCAGTAAGCACACTTTGCCTCTTATTCCAGAAGAGCTAACACTAATCGTCATCGAGGTGGGACCTTTGGCAGCCTGGTCTCGGAACTGTTGATATCACCAATCCCGCGACAAGAAAATGGTACGCCGAGAAGCTCGAGGCACTTCTCGATCTCGGAGTAGACACGTTCAAGGTGATATCTTCACTGATCCGCTCCTACTGGTCATCTCACCACATCCTTCGTCAGACTGATTTCGGCGAACGAATTCCACACGCAGATGTCGTCTTCCACGACGGCTCGGATCCCATGCGCATCCACAACACGTACTCGGTCATCTACAACGAGCTTGTCTTCGACCTGTTGAAGCGGCGTTTCGGCCCTGGTGAAGCCGTCGTGTTTGCCCGGTCTAGCACTGTGGGTGGCCAGCGGTTCCCGGTGGTAAGACGACTGCTTGTCTCAGCTTACAGTGATACTAACGCGCGCCGCGTAGCACTGGGGCGGCGATTGCGAGTCGACTTTCGAGGCGATGGCCGAAGCGCTGCGCGGTGCCCTTAGCTTGACCCTCTCCGGCTTTGCTTTTGCTTCGCACGACATCGGCGGCTTCGAGGTCAGTCAGGGACTCCGATATACGATGACCAGGTTTTAATTGTGCTCTGCCAGGGTCACCCGCCACCGGAGATATACCACCGCTGGGTCGCGTACGGCCTCTTCTCGTCTCATTCGCGCCTGCATGGCTCCGGCTCGTATAGGGTGCCATGGCAGTACGGCGAAGAGGCCGCCAAATACATGGCCAAGTTCCTAGACGCTAAGCACAGGCTCATGCCGTATCTCTACCAGCTCGTGAGTCGCCGCGTCCCTCAACAGTCACGTCCCGTGGGCTCACTCAGCCTGTTTCCCAGAACATCGAAGCGAACAAGCACGGCCGCCCCCTCCAGCGCGCCATGTTCCTCGAGTTCCCGGACGACCGCACGACGCACCACCTCGACCGGCAGTACATGCTCGGCCCGCACCTGCTCGTCGCGCCCGTGTTCGTGCCCGAGGGCGAGGAGTCCGAGTACTACCTGCCTGCCGGACGCTGGACGGCGTTCTTCGACCCGGAACGCACGGTCCAGGGCCCGGCGTGGGTGCGCGAGGTCGTCCCCGTCGACGTGCTCCCGGTGTGGGTGCGCCCCGGCGCGCTGCTCGCGCTCGGGCCGTCGGGCGTGGGCCGGCCGGACTACGACTACGCGCGGGACGTCGAGGTGCAGGTGTACGAGCCGCGGGAGGGGCAGGACGCGTACGCCGAGGTGCCGACGGGGACGCAGGGCGCGAACGCGGACGTGCTCAAGGTCGTGAGGCGCGGCGGGGAGGTGACCGTCGCGACGGCTGGCGACGGCGTCAGGGTCGCGTCTGTCGTGCTGTTCGTGGACGGAAAGGTGACGAGGCGGGCGTGGCCGGAGGGCGAGGTCGATTTCGTCATCAGCCTTCCCGAGTAGACCTGTTTGCACGATTAGTAGGTGCCACTCGCAGATGACCCTACAGGAACAGTATGCACAGCTTCTTGTCCACTGCCACCATCGCTTCGGAGGCTGCCAGTGGATGGCGAGCAGGCGTACGAGCGGTCACGAGCACGGTCTGCTATCTCATCCGGGACCAACCAGTTGTGGCCTGATGCTACGGGAGGACCAAACGCACGTATCCCAGGATGATAAGAATGGCTTCGAGTTTCTCTCGCTACGTAAAAGGACGCAAGCTGGGGTCAAGACGCCGCCAAGCTCGATCAGGTGCCGGGTTCTTCCGTGGGCAGACGACCGACAGTGCGGATTTATTATTGGCGAGGCTATCAGCTGGTAGTGTGCGAAGGCTGCAAAGCAGGCCAGGCCCGAAGCACGCGAGGATGGTCGTAGGCGCAGGGTCATCAGGGCGGGCCGCTCTGCTGCTACATCGTCTCATACTCCACTAAGAACGGCGGTATGCCGTAAATCGTCATGAGACAGAGTAAAGCAGGTACAGTGTCGCATAATGGTTGCAGAAGCACGGGCGATACACGGGCATTTGCGCCATCGATATCGTGTTATCCTCGTGCAGACGCTACTATCGCAGTTGATGTGCTCTCCGAGGTACTGGCCGTGTACGTGGAGAGCCGATTGGAAATACACAGGCGTGAAGGCGACGTTCAAATGCGGGGAGGACGATGCGGCAGATGCAGACTGCGCCATCCGAGTCATGCCCAGTGAGCTTTTCGCCCACCAGCTTGTAGGGTTCCCGCAACGTTGACTGCACCACGGACAGGAAGCAGCTCCTACCGAGGCGCGAGCCAAAGCCCGGCCCTTGCATCCGAGGTACTGCAAAACGGCTCGTTGAGGCCCAAGGCACTGGTCCCAGCTGGCCCGGTTCCTACCATTCCCCGCCCAAAGAAAGATGCCGCTACCATCTATGTAAATCCAGCCAATCGCCTGTCTCTGCAAGTTCAAATGCACCTTAACAGGGGTGAGCTCAAGGAGCTTTTGGTAAGGCAGGCTATTAGCATTGTGATCATTGTCCGTGCGACGCTCACATCCTACAGGGTGCTATGCGACTGGTCCTCAAGAGACACATCGACTCCGAACGTCCTATTCAGGAGCAAAAGCGCAGAGCCTTCGATGCCTATATTGCCGAGGTAAGCACTCAACTCAACTTGCCAACATTCTCTACTCATTGCCGATGCTCCTAGTGCTCGAAATTGCCCAAACTACGACGTTACACGGGCTGCTGGCCGGCAGTTTCTTACTGTAATATCTACCTAAGGGGAGTCCAGTACCGTCGTAAAAGGCAACCTCTTGATAAAGAGGCATCCCTGGTTTGTTGTTTCAGGCCGACCGCGTCCGTCTTCGATATGATCCTGACTGTATTTGTTGACAGACACCTCCGACCATCCGGCAACAGGACGAGGACGCGGCGGAGAGACCGATCCAACCGGTGCCACCTGCCCCTAAGCCGCCAACTGCGCGGCCGGCGCCATTGCCAGCACCTACGAGCCCGACTACGCACAGGGCACCTGCGGACAACGGGCGGCGCACCGCAAGCAGTAGCAGCCACCTGCTGTCGCTGAGGAGTTTTCTCGGTCTCCACGACCTGTCCGAGACGAGGCTCCTGCAGATATTCCATCTTGCAGGCGTCTACAAGCTGGCGGAGCTGGAGAAGCTCGCGAGAGACGACGCGATGCAGAACGATTTCCTTGAGCGCTTGACGACTGGCATTAAAATCCCTCAGCCCGTTACCGTTTACGAGTGTTCGTTAATAAAGGCCGTTATGCGCCAGATATTCGTACGTGGCTTCTCCATGGACCGTGAATAGACTCTCGCCAGTGTATCGCAACATGTATTAGTAGCTTGTGATAGTATGACTGACTCTTTCCTCCGCTATGCTATCGATATCACTGCATCTCGGGCTTGAAGCTCGTGGGCAGGTCGCTAGGGTGCATCTTCGGTCTGCAAAATGACGGTCTGAGGTCGAGGACGGAGACATAGGCGTTATTACAGACATCTCGTCCGCGGAGCTTCCACTCGCTGAGCAGCATCGTATTTCACCTTTATTTTCATTACACGGTTGGTGAGAATGGAAATGGAGGTGATACGAGAATGCAGACTGATACTACTGTAGCCGGACAAAGGCCGCGAGACCCCTCACCAGTTCAGACTGATACAACCCGCTGCAATCGAATTCTTTCTGCTTATCTTCGTCCAAGAGATACACAGCCTCCTGAGAAAGCTCGGTGCACGTACACTTTAGGTCGTTTTCACCCGGTGAGTCGATCTGATGTCTGAACGAACGAGCGGATTAGCCCATATCTCTGACAGTATCGTTTGAAAGCGGACGCACTGGGAGCTCAAATGGACCAGTAACTCAGCCTTGACATCACAAGAAAGCTCGGGACAATGCGCGCACTGCCAAACTGTTCTGCCCGCAAGCTCCTTCTCTCTCTCGTCACACGCGGCCTTTTCGAGGGGTTTGGCCAGTTCGCACTGCAGCTGTGGAATGGTCTCAATTCGATCCTTGCATGAGCCATAACTTGTCCTATAGTGCTCCAACTATGTTGCGACATCAATGAATATGAAGATACATTCCAACTAGTGGAACTCATGCTCACCATGACAGACCACGACATCACACGAACGACACCCCCGGCATTGCACATGGAGCACGTTAGGCGTACTGGCGACAGATCTAATTGTTTAGTGGTGGCTGTCCTCTCGTCCAAACCGTATAATCTGACAACACGCTGAAGCGTCTCTACCTCGTCCTCGAAACCATGGACCACGCAGCGGCGGGCGACCAGGCTTTCAGCAATGAGCTCCTTGCAGTAATCACGTTCCGCGAACACAGGTTTCGGACACCGGTAGCACTTGTGCGAAAGCAAGGTTTGATAATGCAAGCGGTTGCCGCAGAGGGCGCACTTGAACATGCTAGCTATCGCCAAGGAGAGTGGATCCGTAGACTTGGCAATCTTCACCTTGGCCCTGATGAGGCTAGAGAGATATCCACGCGCGTCATTCTTCCATTTGGCATCGAAAGCGGGAAGCTCCGACTCCAAGAAGCTGAAGCTCTCTGTAGTGACGACAGTGGCTGAAGGTAATTTGAGCGTGATTTGGATCCGAGGGATACCAATAGCAATCTGATAATGGGACGGTCCGTCCTCGTTGAGGAACATGATGGCAGTAATGGCGTTCCGCATCGTCTGCAGTCTAGACCAGATCACAGACCTGCGTTCCCGACAGAGTCGATCCTGCTGCAGGCCAACCATGAAATTGACTAGCTGGGGCTTGATATTCTTCCAGACTAAAAATCACGATGAGGTCAACATTATCCGAGGTCTGACGGATCGTGGACAAACTTCTGTCTGTGAGCGGCTTTGGCTGCATCACCAAGGGATGTGATGCGAGTTTCAGAGCGTCCACACTTTCCAGCTCGTCGGCCCAGCCTAACTCAATGAGCTTGGTCCGGATACTCGTAATAAAACTTCAGCTACGAATACAATATGTGGCCGATTTACATCAACTTACCTCTCATATCTCATTTTTTGCGCATTCTGCCGTTCATCCGCGCGAGCCGCTTTATTATCCTCCTTCCATTGCACGAGCGGTGGCGTTTGCTGATGGGCTTCATTGGCGACATGATGAGAGGGGTAGACAACGAAGATTTACCTCTCGCAGAGTACACAGCTTCTTAGCTTTGGTCTCGATAAAACTGCAAATTTGTTCGGGCGGAAGTTGGTTCAGAGCATCCCGCATCCGGTCTAGATCGAGCTTAGAATAATCCCAGCCTTCGTGACCTTTAAAGCAGTCCACTAGCAGCCGTTCGCTCAGGTGAGAAAAGCGGAACCAGCGAAGTGGAAGCTCACTAATGCCATCACCCTCAAACTTTCTCCGCTCCGTTTCCATCACTGGGATAAGGAAATGCAGCGGCACTTGGTCGAAGGGGAACGGGATGTTCGCTCCAGGGAATGCCACCTCCAGCGTGCGGGCTGCGTCATACTTCGTTGTGTGAAGTACTGAAAGTCTTGAAAAACGTCAGCGATTCACCGACGTGACCACAGGTTGAAGTCATACTTATCCCTGCATCTGCTGCAGTAGCGAACCAGACAATCCCAGAACATGGCGTCGCAACCACCCTTGCCGCAGTTCTGAGCAGATATCATCAGCATACGCGACATAACTTTTCTGAACAGGCCTACATGGCAAACTGTGGAGAACATGAAAGCTACATAGGCAGGCCAACTCAACCCTTCGGGTGGCTGCGGCAGATCTTCAACATTCTTAGCAGCGGCCTGCCAAAACCGTTCGGAGTTCCGGCTCATGAAGAATCCGCGTAAGTTCCTGCATGTCCTGGCCATATGGAGGACATCGAGTGGATGCAGCTTGCACACTAGCTGGGTCGCAGTGACTTGTCAGGCCCGTCCGTCTGCAAGAGCATGTACCAGGTACCCACTAGGTAAATGAAGTCGAGAGGCATGTCGACGAGTTTTTCCAGACCGGCTCTCGATTTCTTGCCGCGTCGAGCGCGTTTCGTCGGCTTGGGGCGCGTCTCAGGCTCCAAGTCGCTCGCGTTAGCGTCGTCAACGTGCTCCGTTAGCCGGGTTCTTTTCGTCGCCGTGCGTCGTGGACGAGGCATCGTTGTTGTTGTTGAGTTGTGGGTAGATAGGAGCAATATTGTGGTGGTTCAAGTCGAAGTTGGCCAGCCATCATGCATCAGGAGTCATAATATTTGGTCCCGCGCACAACAACGCGTCCAAACATGGAAAACCCCATGATAACCGTGTGGCGCACCGTCGCGTCTGTTGCGTTGTAAACTTCACGTCCATGCCTTTGGTACAGTGTCTCTACTTATTTGGCTTTCTCTCTTATACATGAGTACACTTAGAGTAGGTATTATATCGTCTACAATTTTGCTCTATCCGCATTTCCATTTCACACCCTCATCTACAGAGCCTTGACTAAGGGTGAGACGACTTCTCCCCCCTTCTTCCTGTAGAAGTCGACAATCTTCTTGCCGACGATAGAGATGTTGTCTCCCGTGAGGCCGAACTTCTCGTAAACCTTCTTGTATGGCCCGGAAGCGCCCCAGCCGACGAGGCCGAACTGCTCATGAGAGTACTTGTGCCAGCCAAAAGTCTGCGTGACATATGTTAGCCAACAGCCACAGCGTCTATCAAGGTGTTGCATACGTTGTAGGCTTCAACAGCGAGAATGGGAGCACCGCTGCGGAGTACGCTGAGGCGGTACTCCTCCGGCTGGCTGTCGAAACGCTCCCAGCATGGAAGGGAGACAACACGAGCCTTCACGCCCTCGGCCTCGAGCTTCTTCGCAGCCTCGAGGACGATGCTGACCTCGCTACCGGTGGAGACGAAGGTGAGATCCTCGCCCTCGATCTCATGGACGACATAGCCGCCCTTCAGCGCATGTTCAATGGTCGACGCCTCAAGGTTCGGGAGGTTCTGACGCGACAAGCAGAGGATCGAGGGGTTGTTCTTGCGTGTGAGCGCGCTGTAGTATGCCGCAGACGTCTCGTTACCGTCAGCCGGCCTCCAGACGTCGATGTTCGGCATCGCACGGAAGTGGGCAACAGTTTCAACAGGCTGGTGGGTCGGCCCATCTTCACCGAGACCGATGGAATCGTGGGTAGCGACCCAAATGACTTGGTGATGACTCAGGGCAGAGAGGCGAACAGCACCAGCGGCATATGAGACGAAATTCTATGGAGAGAGTGAGTCAAACAAGGATGGAAGAGACGAGCCTTCCGCCTACCAAGAAGGTACCGATGAAGGGGATAATGCCACCGAAAGCAGCCAGACCATTAGCGATGGCGCCCATGGCATGCTCACGAACACCATAACGGATGTATGTGCCGGCGTAGTTGCCTAGACCAGTGCTTGGTGGCTGGAAGTCAACAGCCTGCTTGACGCGGGTCAAGTTGCTGCCAGTCAAGTCCGCAGAGCCACCGATGAGGTCTGGAAGGACAGGGGAGATGGCAGTGAGGACGATCTCAGACAGCTTGCGCGAAGCTTGGGCAGCATCGGTGGCCTTGTAAACAGGCAGACTCTTCTCCCAGTCCTTGGGGAGCTCGCCCGCAATACGGCGAGTGAGCTCTGCGTGCTCCTTGGGGTACTGCTGAGCGTATGCTCCGAGGAGACCATTCCACTCTTGCTCAAGCTTGGCACCCTTGAGGGCGGCAGCGTGATAGGCATCGTAGGTGTCCTGGGGGATATAGAAGGTCTGGTCTGCAGGGAAGCCGGACTTCGACTTCAAGGCAGCAATATCGTCAGCCTTAAGGGCTATACCACGTTGGTGAGTTGAGGATGATAAAAAGATTGTTCACACTTACGAGAACCATGAACACCGTGGGTACCCTGCTGCTTGGAGCCAAAACCGATGGTGGTACGAAGACGGATAAGCGATGGCTTGTTCTTCTCCTTGCGAGCTTCGGCGATAGCGTTGTAGATAGCCTCAAGGTCACTGAACTTACATTAGGATTATAGATTTAAGACGAGCATGTAATGCTCACCTATCACCGTTGTCGACGTGCAGGACCTGCCATCCGTAGGAAAGGAAGCGCTGTTCTACGTTCTCGGTAAATGCAACCGCGGTATCACCGTCAATAGAGATATCTAATGATCTTCAGTATGGCCCTGTTATGAGAAACAAGCGCATTACTTACGGTTGTCGTCATAGATCTGCGAGAAGTCGCGTCAATGATGATCGCAAAGCTGTATAAATGTGTGCGCGCTTACGTAGATGAGATTGCCCAACTGGAGGTGACCAGCCAAACTCGCCGCCTCCGAAGAAACACCCTCCATGAGACAGCCATCACCGGTGAAGACTGCACGACTAAGTCAGATGAAACACTCGCTGTGGAGACAGCAAAACAAACCATAAGTGTAGTTATTGATTAGGTCAAAACCTGGCTTATTGAAGATGGCAGCCATGTGCGCCTGAGCGATGCCGAGGCCGACCGCGTTTGCAAAGCCCTGGCCAAGGGGTCCGGTAGTGACCTCAATGCCATCAGTATGACCAGCTTCTGGGTGCCCAGGGGTCAAAGAGTCGAGCTGACGGAAAGCCTTCAAGTCATCGAGAGATAGTTTGAAACCAAGGAGGTGAAGGAGGATGTACTGCAGAGCGCATCTGCAGAGTGCCTTCAATGATGATACCAAATACCAAAGTGCGTGAACTTACGCATGCCTGACACACATCACATTAGCTATATCTACGCGTCATACCGAAATGAGGCTCACCCATTAGAGAGGACAAATCGATCGCGATTGTACCACTTTGAATTTTTGGGGTTGGTATTGAAGAAGCTAAGCACAGCTTATTGGTCCTCCACACTAGACTTAGCAGCGCATATACCTACCGAGTGAAGAGGACATGAGCCGCTGGGGCCATCCCCATGGGGGCACCTATTACGCGGGGTGAGTACGCCAGTTCCGCCCAAAAATGCACGTCGCGCGCACCAGGGTGACCCGAGTTAGCCTTTCCAACGACATCCGCAGCGAGGGTACGGATGGTGGCAATAGCGACGTCGTCTATGGGCTGGGGAACAAAACCAGACATGGTAGTATAGATCAGGAAGGGTATGGGGAGAGACTCTGTCGAGGAGCCGATGCTTGGCACTAAATACCTTGGGATATTTTCCCGATGCTATCTAATCGCTTTCCCTTTCCGCAGACACGGCTTGACGCGGTCCGTGACGCGACGCCTGTGACAAGCGTCTCCAGGATGCGTGTGACGCTTTGTCAGATCACGTGGCGACCTTTTGCCCTTTTTTGAGTTGTAATTCTCGTCACACTTCGTCACACGCTCCCAGCCACGCCCCTGCCGGCCGCACTCCGGTGCACTACCTGTCTCCTCCCTGGACCGTCCCCGATATTGCCGTGCGTGCGTCGCGACCTGTTTCCCACTCTCACTCACGGTACACCGCAAAACAAGCGGCCGTGCGACTATGCATCAGCAGCTCCATGACAAGCGCATCGGTTCGCGATGGTTTCTCCCGTTATGACTTAGCTACCTCTGACCAACATGTATGCTCCAATTTGCTGCCCCTACTCTGATGTCTCCCTTTCTTCAGCCTGCAAAGAGCTCATCCAGGCACTGGAAGCATGTCACCTCGATACATGGGCAAGATGGACTGGCGGATGCAATACCATGAAAATCCAGCTCAACAAGTGTTTGCATGCTCAGGTACGCGGCTATACGCATGCCCGGCCGACTTTCAGGGGCCGGAGATCCTGATATCTTCTTGCGCCCCGATAGAGTATAAAGCAAGCAACGGCGAACCGTGAAAAGGCCAAGATCCAGCGAGAAAAGACTGAGAAGGCTTGGCAGGACATCCGCGGCGAAGGCGAAGATTCATGACACCACTGGCTCTTCTGGCCCATACACGACAGTAGCGTACCGAATCAATAGATTGCCAGATACCCGGAACGCTCTTGTGGTTGACCGGAAGTTTGGATGAAACTCGGCACTGCATATCAGGTCACCTTGTAGAGCTTTGCAAAGGTGAAGTGATCGGACAGCGTTATTAGGAAAATGTCTATATGCCGCTTGAACGTACACCATCTACTTCTTCCTCTGAACGGAAATGGTGTCCCAGATTCTCCTCTCCTCGTCTTCCGCGACAACGTTCTGGACATGGGGCTTGAGGTACCGTTTGTCCTAAAGACACAGCTGGTGTAAGAGTGAAATGCGCTTCAGAGCAGATACAACACACCTCGGAAGCGGGTATCCACTGCTCCTTTGGAAGGACGTCGTGGACAATGCTCATTTGAGAGGCACGCTTGAAGCGGAAGGCGCGGTCATACGCCTCACGGTCAGTGAGACGGGTCAACGCCTATTCAAGGGTCTTCAGCACAACACATGCCTCCCCCGTGAATACGCGCGACATACCCGTTGAACGTCCTCACGCTCCTCAACGACTGTAACACACACTGCTCAGGACCCACTAAAATGCACGACCGCACAAAGCACACGCACGGAGGTCATCGTACTTGAGGCCAATCTTCCTGTAGCCTGCGACGCCAGCGTACCAGTCCGCAAAGGGCTTGACCCACTTGTAGAGGCCACGGTTAGCCTTAACCGTTTGAGCGAGCGAAAGGCCGAGAGGACCGAAGATAGTCATTTTGGTTGGGTTAGTAGCTTGAGGAGCAGCGACAACGAATTGCCTGGACACGGCTCTCTCCGAGGTGTTGTTTGTGCATGCTTGGCCTCCGTGGCTTAGGCGCTAAACAGTATCCTCTGCCATTGCCCGATTTGGACGTGATAACTGGGATAGTGAAGTGCAGATGTCCTATAAAATTCGATCGCATACAATTTCTCTTCCTCATCGTCTCTTGCCTTCTTACCCTCACCTCTAGCCACTATGTCCGTCAGCGAGCGCACCTACATCATGGTCAAGGTGTGCGACAATGAACTCGCGCCCAAACACTGCGGGCTGACCACCTCATCTCAATTAGCCCGACGGTGTCCAGCGTGGACTCGTCGGCGACATCATCAGCCGCTTCGAGCGACGTGGCTTCAAGCTCATTGCTCTCAAGTTCGTCCACGCCTCCCCCGAGCACCTCGAGAAGCGTCAGTACCACTGGCAGGGTCCCTCTACCAGCAGCATCTGAAAGCGCGCTTTCTCTACAGACTACGCTGACCTCAAGGGCAAGCCCTTCTTCCCCGGTCTTATTAAGTATATGGCTTCTGGCCCCGTCGTTGGCATGGTCTGGCAGGGTCTCGACGCGGTTAAGACTGGCCGTGTCATGCTCGGAGCCACCAACCCCCTTGCTTCTGCTCCTGGTACGCGTCCTGTCACTTGCGCGCTTGGTCGCGAGTTGATTGACGCGTCACTCTTCCAGGCACCATTCGTGGCGACTTCGCACTTGCTGTCGGCCGCAACATCTGCCACGGCTCTGACTCTGTCGACAACGCTGAGAAGGAAATTCAGCTGTATGTATTGCACACCTGCTTATACCATCATCGTTCTCACGTCATTTGTTAGTTGGTTCCCTGAGGGCATTGTTCAGTATACCAACGACAACGAGAAGTGGATTTTCGAGTAGACGCATTGTCCCATCAAAAAAAATACAACATATAGCACTGGGCATGTAGACATCACATTGTATCATATCGGCTATCGGGTCAAGTTCTGCGCGACATGCAACCGGATGGCTGCGAGAGCGTGAGAGAGAGTGTGTGAGTTACATACTCCAGGCCTATCCAGGTGCGCACTCTCCCCACACATGGCACTTTGTCGAGTTCTCTATCCATCCATCGGATATATCCCGGACGGCCGGGAGCTTAGTCTTCGCACACCGCCTGCGGGGTGCGTAGATAATACTCACGCTATTGCGACGAAGCACAGGTACAATTTGTAGGTTATCAATGCGTCGCAACGCCACTAAATCATGGTGGAAGACAGTCCGGGCATTCAGGATTGTCAATTTCTCATGCATGTCTCCCTCGACCGACGCAGTGGACCATAGCTTATACTCACCCCCCTTGCCCCGGACCATCCACTTTGCCCCTTGAACTCGACAGTCGTTCTTGGCTAAGCGTTAGAAGGCTGCCTTGATGCCTCTGCGGCTCGCATTCGTTTGCTGTTCTATTGTCACTCTCCCTTGGCTCACTTCGGTACATGCGAAGGGAGGCGCCTTATGGTGTGGGACCCTGATGTGTGTGGATGTCGTTACTAGAGGCAACACTGTGTCTTGTACGTCTTCAACACGCTATGGCTTCGGTATATCCCTGACTTCGCCTATAGATGAGATGAAAGCTCTCAATCAGCTGGGCTGGATGTCCATGTGCGATAAGCTACTCTACGTAATAACACCTTGCGTTGAGCTTACGTTCACGGCTTCGCAGAGGCTTCGGCTCTTCTATGAACAACAACACTCCGGTCGTCGTGATGTGGCCAAACCCAGACGGATCGATCACTTTATCCCAACGGATAGCTTCAGGCCACGTTGAGCCTAGACTTGACCCAAGTCCTTCGCGGGTAGCCACTGTATCAGACCACATGGATATTGTGAGTTACCATTCGGGTACTTCCTTGGGCGCAGAGCTTAAGGTCCTTTTGCCAGATTTCGGATACCAGTCCTATCCTTGCCTTCGACATGCCGAATAATGGAGACACAGTCGAAAGCCTAATCTGGGCCTTTGGGGTAACCTCACCAAATTCTTCGGACCCATCAGCAGATATCGAGCAACATCTCGACGCAGGGACGTTCTCGTTGGACCTAAGTAAGGACGACAGCGGTGACAATGGCAGTGGTGACGATGACGGTGATGATGACGGCCAGAAATCATCTACCGCTGCCTCGCCATCTTCGACCTCAGGGCCAAGCTCGTCGATTCCTCCATCAGTCTCGTCAACACCCACGAACTCTCCATCCTCTTCCCACTCCTCGACGTCCTCGAGTACTTCTTCGTCTTCGGGACCGGTATCCCCTTCCGCCGTACCCGCGATGTCGTCATCAAGCGAGCAGTCCCATCAAACTATTCTCGTTGCTCATGCAGTCCTCAGCTTCCTCGGGTTTTCTGTGTTCCTTCCGCTCGCTGCCGTGTTAGCTCGCTGGGGCCGCACGCTTTCTAACTACTGGTACCGCGCCCACTGGCTCGTGGTAGCGATGTTCGGCCTGCCCACGATGCTTCCAGGGTGGGTACTGGGCCCCGTGCTCGTGTCTCGCCAGCGCCACAAACATGTTGTGAATGAACATCAGGTATGTTCGAGCTTACTCTGCTCCATGATCTCTACCAAACCCTGCCACGTGCCGGGCATTTTTCGCGCAGATCGTCGGAGTCCTCGTTTTCGCACTCTGCGTCGTACAACTTTCGGTCGGCACATTCATCGGCTTGCGTAGTCGGCCGCCCAGGAAGGCGCATCCTGTGCGCAATGTTCTCCATGTCATGCTTGGCTTGCTTATCATAGGACTGTCTTTCTCTGAGGTACGCCTTTTTGTCTCTCGGTAAACCCCAGTGCCACAGCTGATGCGCGCCGGCACATCCATCCAATAAGCTCTTCACAGGGATATCTCGCACTTTGACACTGAGCTCCAACAGCAAGAGGCTGCTTACAGTTGGCTGTATCATCTGGACAACTGTAAGCTCAACCCTGCTGACGTTGCAGGAAGGTTAACTGACAGGCCTGCTCCGACCGGCCGCGATATACACCGTTCTAGGGTATTTCTGCAACATACGCATCCGGGCTACTTCGCCTCCGTCGGCAATTCGACCAAGAACGCTTGGGCTGGCACCTCCCGCTGCCCTCTCCGCCGCGCGCAACGCCCCCTGCAGACGCGCACCCCATCATTGTTGGGCAGCTTCTCAGGAATTCTCCCGGCCGTCCCCCACGCGCTCACGAAGACGAGGACAACGAGCTAGATGATGTATTTCGTCACATAAGCTCGGGCGGTCCGACCTCCCAAGATATGTTGCGGGCACCATCAGTTATCGAGATGCGCGAACTGCAGGGCCACCTCCCTATCTCCGTGCGCTACTGATATGTTGCAGACGTAGTGGTAGCTTAATTTCCTGAAACGCATTGGTGGACAATTATGCTCAATAGGTTCTTGAGATTTGTGCCCTATTAGGGCGCCGCACTAGAACGAAAAACACCTAGACATTCGGGAGTAATTGTACATAGTTTGCTACAGTGCTGGACGAGACTCTTGGGAGGCCTATCGAGATACTACACATCATACTACTATACAGAGTCGTTATTTGAATGATACCGCCGATAACGTAGAACGTCCAGCAAGCAGTGCGAGGCATCGGACCCCTTCCCCCAGTGTGCGGCACGTTCCCGTAATGTGGGAGGGCCGTCTGGATGGGTGGGGGTTATGGGAGCGAGGGTGTCGAGCCGGGGGAATGTTTTGGAACTGTCAAGTCTCTGTTAGCTTAGTGTCTCGGTGTTACCTAGGGATCACTCACAGATTATGTGCTCTTAGCACATCGTCGCGCACCCGCGGGTGCTCTGCTTGACTGCCCAGAGAAGGGCATGTGCGCCGTCTGCAATTGGGGGATGTAATACTATCAGAGTGTTAGCCCTGTGCTGAGCAAACGATGAAGCAGTGTGCCCACCTGCGTTGTGGTCCTCGCCCAGCAAGTAGGCGACGGCCATGATAAAGGATGCACCGCCGACTGCCAGTATCACGACCAGCAAGACGGTAGAGAAGAGCGAGTCGTCGATGGACTTCGACGCGCATGCGAGCCGTGAGCGGTCCTCACAGCTCCGGGACGCGGCTCCAAGCACGTAGGTTTCGGTGTGGACGGGGCGCAACATGGTGGCTAGGGGCGGTTCTGCGAGCAGGCATGCAACGCAGCTGGCCATGACGCAAAGGTCGCCGGGGAGGTTATATAGCACCGCACGAACACGCCTCTGCACTTCTCAACAAACAAACAAGCTTGCTCAACGACTTCGTGCGGTGCGTCGCTATTGCGTTTCCTCGGGCGGAGAGGACAATGCATTCGGTGCTGGAGAGAGTAAGCTTAAATGGCGTTGCAGCGAGACTTCCTGTCAAAGTCGAGGTATGCAGAATGACTTACTGGGGAGGGGGGCAATAAGACCGGTACGGGGCGCTGCTGGAAAGCTTGATCTCCGCTATCGTAATTAAGCGGCGGCGCAAGGTGTACCCTGACATCGGGGGTGGCCCACTAGACTAGGGACGGACGTCTGGAGGACGATCCTGGCAGAATCACGACTTGCCGACCGAAAACCCTTGGGCAGCGCCACTGCCGGACCAATGGGCCGTCAGCATTCACAACACGATGCACGAAGCAGAGAGGGGTTTACTATTCCCGAGCGGCCAGATTTGTGAAGCTTCGCACGAGAACCCTGGAGTCGAGCGTTGCGGGCCCGGCGCTGGCTGGGTCTGATGAACCACTCTGGGCGGAATACATACCGAGCTGATCGAGGCGGTCTGTGGTGCGCCTCAGGTAGTATATCCGAAGGGGGAGAGCAAGGGTCGAATCTGGCCAAACGATCATCACGGCGTGAGAAGTGGGAGGGCCACACTAGTAGCATCGCTCACCCGAATACACTACCGCCCAATAGAGTCAGGCCGCTACAGCGTTCTCGACTCTGCGAATACCAGGCTCGGAGATACCACAGGACCATGCCTGGACACGATTGACCGAGCAGATCGACGGTCGTGATTGACTTGGCTGGTGGCAGCAGCAGCGAGGCTGTCAACGCCTGTTGCACGAACCCGGCCAGACTCAGGGCCGCCGGCCGCCACAACGATGTGGGTTCCACCTTGATTGACCTGAACGACGCTCGTTTCCCATTGGGAAGAAGACAGTGGTATTAATTTAGCAGACGAAGGCATCAAATCGTCTTTCATTTCCGACCTGGCGATCACAAGATCCTGGAAGAAATGAATTCCTTTTGCATGCGAACAGCGGTAGTGTACATTGCACAAGAAGAAATGCACCAAAGGCGCAGGGTATCAGAGACACAGAACGAGAGAGCAGACCGTAATAACGTTACACTAAACCCAGATGAGCCAATATGCGCGACAATGGAGATTGATGGGTAGATGGGGAGAGAGAATGAGTGTTCCAGTCAAAGAGCGTTCGCATCGAACCTCGACGGCCAGACGATTGTTGCAGATATACCCCTCGGCTTGTCCTGCCCGATACTCCCTGTCGAGTAGGGCCTCTCGAAACACCGATACCGGGTACGGTATCTCGGTAGGACGCCCCCAGGGCGAGTTACCTCACGAGGTCGGCAGTAGCGTTCGTTGCAACAGTGAATGTCCAAACCCCGGATGCAGGCTTTTATGGCTTTCCGGAAAGCAGTGCAGCGAGATCCTGTTCGTTGGGAACATCCACCTCGCGGGAACGAGCTTTCAGTCGCACTAGTTTGGAAGTGGTTAGAACAAATTGATTGACAGGCGTCAACGGGCTGCTCACGCATGCGATCAAAGGTCAGCAGCGCGACCTTGCTTGCTCCGGTAGTGTTCTGCTCCGCCGCCTTCAAAAACTTGGACCGGTCGACCCAGTGTTCGGTCTGCCAGATGGCGGCGCGCAAGATGAGATCGTCCATGTTACGGTCCCAGGAGGCCTCGTTCCAGTCAAAGTCGACGTTCTCCGTGCGGACGTTGAGATTCGACAGGTAATTGCCCTTGGAGGTCTGGATCTTGAGCGAGGTTGCATGGCTGCGCAGGTGTGAGGTGATGGACGCCGAGGCCGCCTTGGCGGCGTCACCGAGGGGCGTAGAGCTGGAGCTGAGCCCGTCCAGTTCCATGATGACTGGGAGGGGAACGACGACAGTCCATTTGAGGGTCTCGACAAGGGCGTTGAACATCGGTAGAGACGAGAGCAGTACGTTCGTGTCAAAGACGAGCGTGGTGTGCCCAGGAGCCATTTGGACGCGCGCTGCCTCGCGACCACGTCCACGGTGTCTGGACTTGGCCTCCGAGCGCTCCTTCTGCACGAACGAGGTCAGGTATTGGAGGCGCTCCTGTTCGAGTGCTGTCAGCAAAAGGCGAAAACAACGGATCGGAGGACCACTGACCTTCAGGGCCTTGACCTCCTCCGAGACCTCCTCCTCGTCGCTCTCGAACTCGACGCCGTCCATACGGTCGTCTTCGTCGACCTCCATCTCGTCGCCGTCGTCGTCCCAACGCGTGCCCTTCAGCCGGCGCTCCTCCTCGAGCTTCTCGAGCCGCGCTTCCTCTCGCCAGCGGGCGACGCGGTCTGCGAGCCGGCCCTCGACGCTCCACTCGCCGCGCCCGCTCTGCGTGACTGGCGGGCGGTACGTGAGGCCGGGGACGACCTTCGCCATCTTGACGGCCGCGCGCGCGACGCGAATCCAGCGGGCCAAGACCTCCGTGCGCCGGGCCTCCGCGCGGAGCTTCGCCTGTTCGTCGTCCTCGGCGTCATCCTCGATGACGCCATCCTGCGCGTCCGCGGCCTGCGTGACCTTTTCGAGGACCTCGCTCTCGAGCGACTTCTCCTCGCCGCGCGTCGCCTTGTCCCAGAAGCCGCGCTCGTACACCTTCTTGCCGCCCCAGCCGAGGCCGCGCATGCACCAATCCTCCGGGAGCGGGTACGTGCCGCTCGAGAGCAGGACGGCCTCTTTCGACCACTCGCTGTGCATCACCTTGCGGGGCATCTCCGAGGAGAGGAAGGCGGCGAGCGGCTCCCAGGGGATGACGCGCGTCAGCGCTTGCTCGGCGCTCTTGTCCTTGAGGGTCGTAGCTAAGAAGGTGAGGATAATCGTGATGTATGGGTTGAGCATCGGGTGTGCGACTGCGGAGGTGCGAGGGAGGTTAGGCTTCTGAAGAACGTGGGTGAGCATGGTAAGGGTCAGCTGCAGGGCATATTTCAAGCCCATTGGCAGCTCAGGCTCAGAGGGCGCGGCATCTGCCTCAGACAAGATGGGCGAATCTTGGCTGATCGCCATGGCGCGCAGGCCATTAACTCCGGTCGAGTCGTCCTCGTCGTCAATCTCCATTCGCCTCTCCTCGTTCTCCGGCCTCCTGGCGACCTTGACTCTGCCGTTCAGGATGGGGCTTGCGCTCGAACCTGGGATTGTGTCGCGGCCCATGATGCCAGACACGCGACGCAAGAACGCGGTCGAGCGACCGTACTCGAGCATCCCACCGATGTTGACTACGGCCATCATGATCCATTCGCGCTCCTCGACCTCGTCACCTGCGAACCCTAAGTGAGTATGGTGATCCTGAGCGCCGGCCAGAAATAGATGCGATACGACACGGTGGCATGTGCTACGCGCGGATCGGGAGAGCCTGGGACCGAAGACTCACCTTCAATCTGGATCTTTTCCTCAAACCGCGCCAGAACACGCTTGAAGTCGTCGAGCTGGATGTTGGTGAAGATCATGCCGTGGAGGAGCACGAAGAGGTCGGTGAGGCTCGCGTCGGGCGCTTGACGGCGCGATTGAGCGGCCTGCGACCACAGGGGAAGCACCGCTTCCCGCGAGGTCGAGAACGGATGGAGCGTGATCATGCTGCGCGTGTGTCAGCCAATAGGGTGACGCAGGTTTGCAGAAGCAGACTAACCTCTTTACGAAATGGTAGACCGCACGCAGCTCTTCCTTCTCACCTGCCTCACGGTCCCGGCTGAGGGCACCGAGGTGGTGGTGCAGCTTGCCGGACCCTGGCTGGAACGCCAGACCCTTGGCATACCACTCTCTCGATATCTGCCGCCAGCGCTCCTTCTCAGGTTCGAGCTCCATCATGCGCGCGGCTACGATCCCGACGCTCGGCGCCTGTGCAAATTCGCCGACAGATGGTGGGGGCGAGTCGTCGATGCGCGCCACAGGAGCAGGAGAGCCACGGGCAGAGACGAAGTTTTTGTTCGAGAGCGCTGATGCTTCCGGGGTGTTCGGGCTAGTGGAAAGATGGTTGCCTGAAAGCGCAGCTTGGGTTATGGCATTCGCCGGCAGGGTCTTGGGCGCAGCCTGGTTGTCGAGCAACGCGGTGACGGCGATGCGATAGCGGGCGATGTCTCCCAGGCACTCGACCCAATTGCTGCGGAACTGGGCCAGGTGCTGCTCGTCCATGAGGCCTGCGTAGAACGAGTACGCGTAGTAAATAAATTCCTAGGCGCCGGTTCAGTTGCCGTATATGGCAAGTCTAGTGGTCGGACTCACCACCAGGTGTTCGAGCGCAATGTCCGGGTGGGCGGACGAAATCGCCGCTCGCCGAAGCGACTCGAGCAGGCGATGGAACGCGTGCAACCAGAGGCGCGTGACCAGGTTGTATTTGATAGGAATGTTGCGGAGCGAGACCGGGACATTGGGCGAGAGTGTCACGCAAAGGAGCTGATGGACGACGTTGGCAAGCCTATCATTGCGATGACGGTCAGTAATCGAGGTGGGAGCGCAATAAAAACAAGCGTACTCCTTGTGGTCCTGGACAGTCCTGTGGTAGCGCTCCTGCTCCGCCTCCTCTTCCTGCTTCGTCCTGGTGTTCGCAGGCTGGCCCTTCTGCAGCAGGCCTATCCGGTGCGAATCCTCGTAAGCGTCGTCCAGCATGTCCACGTCACGATCCGACTGAAGCTTTGCTTCGAGCGTCACAATTTGCCGGTACAAATTTTTCAGCTGGGACGAGAGCACGTTGGACGATGCTGCGCTGTCTTCCGAGCGTTGCCCGTTATCGAACAGCGCCGAGCTCGCCGAGGACTCTGTTGTTGTGGTGTTGAGCGTGAAATTAGAGGAAATTGTTGAATGAGCATATGAGGAAGTAGAAGAGGCAGACACCCAGTCCCCGGAGGACTTTGGTGTGGGTGCAGGGCGACCGTTGGGTGTCGGAGCGGTGCCGCCATTGGGTTGTGGGCGGGCCATAACGCCAAAGTGATGCGGGTCGTCTTTTCTTGGGTCGAAAAGCCGCGGAGGCTCGCCGCCGGCTCGGCTGGGTTGCGCGCGATGATGGGACCGCGACGGCTGAGGGGGCTGCCGAGGCGCGTACGAGCTGGACGCTGCTTCCGACATCGCATCTGGCTCGGCCGTCACGATTTGCCGCCGTGGCGGATCGGCATGGGGGTTGTACAGTTTGCCGCTGCCACGCGGGCTGCTGTGTTCGCCGCGCGCATGACCGTGCCGCGGAGAAGTAGGCGCGATCTTGAGCTTCCGGGAAAATTCCTGTTCGTCGGGCGCGCCGCTGTGCTGGAGAGTGGGCTGGGAGACGACGATGCTAGGGTTCATGGTGGATGACGCGTGCGTGCGCCGTGGCGAGGATGGGCGTCCTGGGGACCTCGCTGTCGAGGTTGAGGGTGCAGGGGGACGGTCGGTCCGTTCCTTTGGTTTGATCAGGCTGGGAGGTGCGGCAACGAAGAGAGCTCGGGTGTGAGGAGAACGCAGGAAGAGATAAAGGGAAGAAAACACGCACCCGGCCTGCCTCCTGCGCAGAGCGACGAGTTTCTCAGCAATATCCGTGGGCTGCGGAGCCTGACGCTCCTTCCCTTTCCTAGAGAGGACCGGGAGGTCTGGTGTGGACGAGTCGGGCATGGCTGAGGGCGGCGAGGGGAACAATGCCGACGAAAGTGAGAGTTGGAGGGAGAAATGTCTGGGTGAGGACCGCAGGGGGGTTCGAGGGAAGGTGGTAGCTGCGCAGATGCTGCGATGAGCCAAGTTGGGCCGGATGCCCAGTCTGCTCTGGTGGAATGCATTTCCGCAGTCCTCCAGCAGCTGCGCACCAGATCTTCAGATCCTGTTTCCCACGTGGCTGCTATCCCCGTCACACGTGTCACATCTCCGTCACCCCGGCCCCGGTCTCCTGCGCAGCTCCTCCGCCGTCGGTACCGAGCTCGAGCGCGACGACCACACGCCCGCGGTCGCCCGACTCCACCCCGAGCTCAACCGCGCCCGCCGCGTCTGCCCACGCCCTGGCCCACGCCCTCATCACGGCCGCCTCTCGTTGATATCTCTCGTCCCACTGGGAACTCCAGCTGCCATCCAGGAGAATTTCTGTCCCGAAAGGCACTGTCGTGCGGTTCCAAAGCGGTCTCCGAGGCACACTCACGCCTTCACCTCGAGGACACCCTGCATCTCCCCTCCAAACGTACCACAGAGCCCGAGATCAGCCCGGGGTCAAATTCACCCTTCGTCCTGCTACACACCCCGGCGCCTCTCACTGGCGGCCGCAGCACCGCAGCACCCGGCGTCGCGTCGCGTTCGCACAGCTTCCCGTGGTCCGCCTCGTCCTCGTCGTCACGCATGTTTACGGTTGCGGATCGGCTCATGCCCAGCGTGCGGAACAACAAAGGATCGTCTTGCTCTGGTGGCTGTTCACTCAGCCTCTGCACACAGGCGGCGCAGGCGGCGGGGGCCTGGCAGGCACTACTCGGCACCGTCTCATCGTAACTGTCCTTGACTGTTGCCACTTGACGCGGCCATTCCGCCGCCGCAGCAGCATCTCAACGACGACGGCACACGAGTCGGTGACAACTGTCCCAGAAGACGCTACGCTCCGAGAGCCATCGTCTGGTCTCGGCAGTAAATGGAAATATTGGTACACGATTCAAAACTGTTCTTGGAACACGCATCACCATGAATGATGTCCGCCGCTGACTAGGATGCTGCGCGTGTAACCAACGGTCAGTCGCCCTTCGCTACACCAGGGAAGCTCCGACTTACTCGCTGCCCGTGCAGAACGTGCTCGCGTCGCTCGTCAGCCAAGTGACGACGCCGCGAAGCTCGTCTGGCCGTCCGATTCGGCCCATCGGATTCAGGCCCGCCCATTTCCCCAGCAGATGAGGCTGCGTGTCGAGGTATGCTGCGGTCATGCTTTGTGACCCGGTGTCAGCTCCGAGACTCCAGCGCGATCATAGAACAGACAGGCGCACTTGGTGTAAATGTGTCCAGGGCTGAGTGTGTTCACCCGGATCCGCTTCGGGCCCAGTTCACATGCCATGCTGCGCGCCATCTGCAGAACCGCTGATTTCGACGTGTTGTATGACACCCAAGCATGATCCTACGACATGGCGACGATCATCACTCTAGCTCTCCTTAGAGGAAGAAGAAGACGTTTACCTTGTTCGTGATGGAACCGCTCATGCTCGCGATGAGGACTATGCTGCCTCCATTTCCAAAACGCGCCATCTGTCGTCCGGCCGCTTGCGCAGTAAACAGAACGCCGTTCACGTTGACGTCCATCACCTGCGGGATGTTTTGCGGTCTGTCACTGGCACAACCCCCTATCGCAAGAAACAGTCTCACCTCCCGAAATTGCGACGCGGGGTACTCGAGACAGTCCGTGTGAGACTTGAGGACGCCCGCAGCAGCAATGCACGCGTCCATGCGGCCCTCCCTGTCGCCTATATCCTGTCCGATCTTCCACATCGCCTCCTGTGCACGCAACCGCACCCCGTCAGCGCACAGCGCATACCGTCAGGGCCCTCCCGCCGCCGCCACCAGCATGTTAAAAAAAAACGCACCTGGTCCGTGACGTCTCCGGAGACGTACTCGAGCCGGCCCTCGCCGCCCGTGTCCGCCATGCGCGCCGCGTACGCGCGCACCTGCTGCCACTCGTCCGAGGGCTCCCGCGGCAGGTCGACGCAGTATACGGCGCGCGCGCCCGCCTCGACGAGCCCGAGCGCCATCTCGAGCCCGAGTCCGCGGTTCCCGCCCGAGACGAGCGCGACGCGGTCCGCGAGCGAGAACTCGTGCCGGAAGAGCGTGGGAGTCGGCGCGGGGTCTAAAGAGAGGGAGGGGGAGGGGGAAGGTAGCATGTCAGTATAGGTGCATGGGGAGCGCGCACGCGCGTGCGTGCGAGAGCGTGTGCCTGAGGAGAATGCGGACGCACCGTTCGGCGAGTGGTGCAGCGCTGCTGCCACGCCTATGGGACCGTACGCGGGCTGTTCGCCCGTCTTGGGCTGGTTGGCCGGGTCCAAGGGAGATTGTTGCCCTGGAGGGCAGTGGTGTGCGCGAACGAACGGGCGCGCCGGTAGCAGCGCGGGTCGAGCTAGCCCTGCACGACGCACTGCGTTCGTCGTTGGGATGCGGAGGCGTAATGCGAGAGGCATTGGTACGTTAGTGTAGTAGACGGGCGACGGATGGTGGACGTCTTGAGCAGAGCGCACTTGGACGCTTTGTCGCGACGAGGGAGGTAGATATGAACGTGCCGACCCTGCTGCTAGACGTCCCACGCATTACGTCTGAACGTCTGTTGTGCAGGAAGCGAAGTCCTTGCGCAGGTCATGGGTTCGCCTAGGACCCCTGATAATTGGGTCAGATGCCTGTTCGGGCCTTCCAAAATTTTACCAAAAACGTCTGGACAGGAGGGGCAATTTCGGGTCAAAACGTTCGGACAAAATCAGGCCCCGGGGCCTTCGGCCCCCAAAACGTCCGGACTATGGGCAGGCCTAGCAAAATCCTGTCCACCCCCAAGCTCGCCCGGCAGGCTTTCAAACTTGCATTTTCTCCTTCGTACCTAGCAAGAGACAGTGTTGGACACTAGTAACAATGATATAGACAGCAACATACTGGTGCAACTACTGATTGGGACTGTTGTCCTTGACCTCGAAGCCCATCTCATCCGCCCCTGTGCCTGAAGTCTTCCTAGCAGCCTTCTGACGAGCCTTTACAAGTTCTTTGACCGCTTCAGTAACTTTTTGAGCAATAGGTGTCGACTGGAGTGAGCGGAAGATGCTGAGTGCTTCCTGACCGAGAGTGAGTTTGCGGCCATTATTCGACAAGGTCACGTTACCGGGTAGTAGCTCTAGAAAGCAGTCGGAGGACAAGTGGGCAAATCAAATACCTGGTATGCAGAGAACTGTCAAAGGATACCGCAGAATTCGTT